GACTATTTAGGCCAATTTGACCGAAAATATGGACTCTGTGATGCAAATAAATATGACTTTAGGGGGCTCTGAGAAGGCGGCAACCTTCAGAGCAGCTAAACACAAGAATGAATTTTCACTTTATGGCTCTATATTTGGGGTGATCTAGCTCAAAATACAATTTTGCATGACATTCATAGCATTTCCTTTGGAGAATCCTGGGGGTACCTCAAGGAGAGAAAGCATGCTCCAGAACAACTGGCTGAAGTTAGAGAGACTTCCAGAGAGTCAAGCTGCACACAGGGAAGGACGTTGAGGATGAGGAGTCAAGCAGGAGTCCACCCACAACCCCCCAACTAAAGGCGCGGGGGCAAAAGGAGATACTCCCATGTGGGCAATTCTTCATGGCCTTGGTCTAGGGTGAGCAGAAGCAGGGAGCTGTGGTATGGCATGCGCTGTTGTGTGGGAAAGCCAGTCACAATAATGAAAATAATGAGGCCAATTCTCCCTGTCTCAGAATAGGAGCAGCACTCAGCAGGAGAGTAAAGGATGGTGCCCACGGCCTCCCTCCTTTTCTCCCTCCATGTCACCTCACTCTCCTCTGGAGCTGTGTGCCCCTAAACACGGTGGCTCTGTCCTTTCAGGTCCCTGTGGAGGCCTCAGCTGGCCTCTCATGGTGTCCCCCTGAGGGCAGGGGTATCCTGACTCTGAAATGGCAACCCTTGGAAATCAGAGTGTACAACCACAGCATATTTGTTTGCTTGTTGACTTGGTTACCATCTGTCTGCTAGATGGGTGAGCTCATGTAAACAAGGATCTTGCCTGTCTTCTTCTCCACCAGATTCTCAGTGGCAAGAACAGCAACTGACACTAAGTGGGCATCCAGTAAGTATATCTTAAATGAATCAATGGTATCCAATGGTAGCCAATAGATTCTCCCAGCACAATCAGTCATCAGGCAGATTCTGAAAGGCGGGTTTGCATCCCTTCGCACCTGCAGGCAGCCCCGTGTATTCCTTCTAAGGTGACCCACTGGTTCAGATGTGTTTGGTGCTTACCAAGGGAAGAGAGATGGGATACAGAAAAAAAGCACACAAGCAAAAGTACCGGGGCTTGAGAACGCATAGTGGACAACAATTTCCAGGAGTGACCAAGGTATGACCTAAGAGGCCAGGTGCCTGGGAGGGCATGGCTGGAGGCCACAGTCAGGAAGGTGCACCATGTCACGAAGTTTGCATTTTGTTCTGCAGACAACTAGGGATTCCTAGGCAGTTTGGAAGCAGAGAAAGCAGAGAATTGTGGAAGCAATATCAAGGAAGAATCAGACAAAAGGAGGCTCTCTAATTAGGAAGGCCAGTTATAGGGCTACTACATGTGTCCAGGAAAGAGATGATGGGAGCCTAGACCAGCATCTGGCCTTAGAGATGGAGAGAAGGCCATGGGGAACAATGAAAGGAGGTGGTGGTTGGAATTGTGGGTCTGAATATTCAGACAGGAGAGTCATATGGGTCCTGTTGAAGCCATAGCAGAAAATAAAAAAACACCTAATTTGAGTAATGGATCATTTAGAAAATCTGGTGAAAGGTAAAAACCTTTCCTCCAGAAAAAATATATACAATAATTTGGATGTAATTTCAGAGGCTTCACATATTGTCCTCCAGCACCCCCCCTCCCACCATCCAAGCAAAAGGTCCATGGACATTAACTAAGAACCCCTGATTGAGAAGAGCAAGAATGACAGGAGAAAGAGTCCAGAGGAATGGCCCAACCTAAGGGCTAAGCAGAGGAAAACAATGGTTCCCAACTGGCTGCTACAGAGACATTGATTATTGCTTATCAGAAAGGTAGGAGAAGCAAAAGAGAGGTAAGATGAGGGTACAAGAAAAGAACTTTGTTCTTGAGGTGCCTAAAACAACACCAAGGAGGCTAAGCACATGGCAGATGATGAGGAGAGAGATCTAACTTCTAATATTTTAGGTGTTTGGAGAAGACATATTGCTCAGGCAGGAATAGCCAGAAAGCCTCACAAAAAGAGCACAGGTGAGCCCAGAAACAGAATCAGATGCAAGTAATATGCAGAGTCCTCAGGAAGCGCAAGAGAAAGATGTTTTCTGAGCATATGTAGGTCCCTTTCTTTAGAAAACTCAGCAAGACTCATTTGCTAATAACCTCAATTTCTATTGCTTATATATAATATAATGGACTGCAGGTGTGTAGGTGTAACTGCCTACATGTGTGTTTAGTATTATGCGTATACACTGAATAGTCTGTGTATATATAGACATATGATTATGTACTTACATAAGGGTTTATGTTTATCCATTTGGCATAGATACACATGCATGTACAGAATAAGTCTAGATTATTCTCCTGTCTCATTAAAGCCCTTTACTGTTCTAAGACTCAGTGCAATGAATGGAATGGAAGAGGCCCTATTCTCAAGGGTGAAGCAATAGAGACATGCTGAAGGCCTTGGATAGCCCCATGAAGGGGATCCCATGAAAGCTAGAGGGTACAATGCCAGCAAGCTGATCAACTCTGCCATAAACAGAGGACATAAAAGGAAAACTTTTATCCTTTCTCCAGAAATAATCTTGAAGGATCTAATTTTCTTCTTTGAAGTCACCTTTTTCCATATTTCAAAGTCAAATTAACAGCCATTTATTAATAATATCCCCCATGTATTGCCCAAAGCTGGCTATTCTGTAGAAGCTAAAGCAGCATAAAACCTGATTATTACCTCAAATAATTTACAGTTTAGATGTGGAGATAAGACAAAGAATATTATAGGGCAATATAAAGTGTGAGAAATAGATGTAGGCTGGGCGTGGTGGCTCACGCCTGTAATCCTAACACTCTGGGAGGCTGAGTCGGGCAGATTGCTTAAGGTCAGGAGTTCAAAACCAGCCTGAGCGAGACCCCGTCTCTACTATAAATGGAAAGAAATTAATTGACCAACTAAAAATATATACACAAAAATATTAGCCGGGCATGGTGGTGCATGCCTGTAGTCTCCGCTACTCGTGAGGCTGAGGCAGTAGGATCGCTTGAGCCCAGGAGTTTGAGGTTGCTGTGAGCTAGGCTGATGCCACGGCACTCACTGTAGCCTGGGCAACAAAGTGAGAGTCTGTCTCAAAAAAAAAAAAAAAAAGAAAGAAAGAAAGAAAAGAAAAGAAATAGATGTAAGTATTTGAGAAGGGAGAAATAACGAGCTTATTCTGGGGTTGATAGGTCAGTGAAAGGTAATTTTTCACCTGGTAATTTGAGAAGGTCTCCTCTATGAACCAAGTCAAAGACTGCAAACTTAGGACTATTGGGAGACAGGTAGATACAGATATAGCTATAGATACGAATCTTCACCATTGTCAGACATCACTGAGTTAGTTGTTTAGGTTGCAGGGCTTACATGAGAGAGGGGGTCTAATAGATGGTTCTGAAAAGTTTTCAGCCTTTGAGCCCATGAGTGAGGAAGAGTAGCACTACCTAATATTTATCCAACATATACCTGCCCCTTCTTTATATTAGGCTATGACTGAGAACTTGATTGTTTATATCACCCAGTGTCTATTAGAATTCTCTGGAGAAATTTCTGCTGGTTTCACTCAGTATCAAGAACAGCAGCTCTTCTCTTGAGCATTTTTTTTTTTTGGTCTTGCATGTGACAGGAATTGAATTTTAGACAAGGCCTCTCTCTTGAACTTGACTGCTAGAAATTCAAGCAGTCAAATTTTGGTCCCACTTGCAGCAAGTGTATTGGACTCTGTAGGGTACACCTTTTTCAAGTGGCATTCATTTTTTGTTCCATTTTAAATGCCTTATTTTTCATTTCACACACTTCTTTTTGTAGGGTATCTATTCTTGTAAGCTATCTTGAATTCTTTTTTTTTAGGACAAGGTGGCTTATAACTATAAGGAAATATATAAATGAAATAGCAGAAGGAGGCTTTAAGGTCCTCCTTAAGCCTATGACATTATGGCTAGGAAAACAACTATGATTGTGGCTAGTTATGGTATACAGCCATGGCAAGGGATGTTATTAGGACAGTCCAGCAGTGATTACAGGGAGTCAGACAGATCTCAATCCAAGTCATACCTCTCGCTGCTGTCTACTAGTTGTGTGATCAGAGAAAACCTTAGTTTTCTCATCTCTAAAACAGTGACCTCTCTTTATTAGGGAGGATGAATTAAACAAGGTACGGCTGCGAAAGCACCTAGCACAACTGCACCCAATCAACACTAGCTCTTGTTACTACCAACGCTATCACTTGAACAAGCACCGGGTGGGCCGCCGCTCTGGGCAAGGTCTTCCGCTCGCACTGAAGCTGTAAGAAAGCGCTCTCCCCACCCTCCTCCTCTCCACTTTTCCCCACGTCTCCCACGCCCACACACGCCGGGCAGCTGCGCCTCGCTCGATATGGATCAGGCCTCCGGAGCGCACCTCCACACGGGCCGCCCTCCTCCAGGCGCGGTGCACACATCCACCGCCGGGTCTCGCAGGCTGCCACCCAGAGACACAAATGCGCAGGTTAAGGCAACTCCACAACTGTTCACCAGTTCCTCACCCCGACGGCCTCGGCGCCCTGACATATACTGGAGAGGCCTGGGAGGGGGCAAGGGGTCCTCGGGAGCCAGGCCGAAGCGCCCCGGCAGCGGCGGCAGGCCGCGGGCTGGGGCGTCCCACGAGAGCCGCTAGCTGAGGCCCATCTCCCGGGCTCAGGTGGAGGCGGGGGCGTGGTGGGATGCAGGGCAGCTGCGAGCCTCCCCCCCTCCCCAGGTCCCCGTGGACTTAGCGAATTATTGGGCCGTGAGAGGCCGACGCCAGGCAGGGGCGAAAAGAGAACTTGGAGAGGCGCGGGCTTCTGGGCACTGCCGAGGAAGGGGGGCAGGTTTCGGAGAAGAGGCGCCGAGCGCGGCGCGCTTCCTCCCGCCGATAACATCAGCGTCTGTCAGGTGGCTCGAGCGGCGAGGGAGAGAGCGTGCGCGCGCGCGCGCGCGAGGCCCGGGGGCGCGCTCACACAAAGTTTGTGCCTGCGGGTGCGCTCGTGCGGGCTCGCCCGGCTCGGAGAGCGGCCGGGGGCGCCGAGGCCCGGGGCGGACAGGGCCGGCAGGCGGCGGCGGAGGCGATGCGCCGCGCCCCGCCGGGCCCGTCCCGCCGCGCTCGGTGAGCCGGCTCCAGGAGCGCGGGCTGCGGCCATGGGCACCCTGGGCAAGGCGCGAGAGGCTCCGCGGTGAGTAGAGACGGCGGCGGCGGCCCTCGGGAGCGCCACTTTCCTTTCTTGGGGAAGAGGCGAAGGCACAGGCGTCCCCTTCGTCTCCTCCGGGAAGTTGCCGGCCCGGCTGGGGGGGCGGCCGGGGGCCAGGGTCTCCGCCGAATTCGGGCGGGACGGGCACGGAGGGCGACACGTCGGAGCGCGCCACGCGCGGGGGCTGAGGGAGCGAGCCGGGGCTGTGGGGGCGGCTGAGTTCGCCCGGCGAGACCCGGAATCGCGAGGGCCGAAGCGCTTCACGGAGCCGGCACCCGCCCGCCGACCTCCTCCCCCGGATCCTCGCCGCCAGCACCCGGGACTCCCACTCGCAGACTCCCCGCGCCGCCCGCACCTGCCGGGGCGCGGGCCGCTGGCAGCGCCACCTGGCGCTCTCGCCCGGCCCTGCCCAGGACGGCGGGCAGCGTCTGCGCCGAGCAAGCCGAGGTGGCTCCGCTGGGTCGCCGCTGCTCCAGAGTAGTTTCCAGACCCTTTGGTCAGCGAGCCGTGTAATCTTCTGGGTGGGCGCCTGCACTCCTCCCTCCCTCACTGTGATTCTAGAGATTTGTGGAGTATTGGATGACAAATGGAAGGAAGAATGACAGTCTGTCAAAAGGCTCTTGGAGGGATAATGAGGCCTGGAGGGGCCAGGAGACTCTTGAGTTTGTCGTCAAAGGACCAGAACCGGGCAACTGTCTGGACAGTGGCTTGGCCTTGGCATATGTCTGGACACTTCATAACCCCATTCACACAGACACTGGTGTCACTGTGTCTACCCAGCCTGCACGACCATACCCAGTAGTGACAGGAAGCTGTGCCATGCTGGACTTTCTGTATTTGTAATCCCCCCCCCCCCAACTAAGGTTCTTGGTCCCTTAGGCACTCCCTTCCCTACCCCTGCTGTATCCCCTGAGGGTCCACCAGGTACTTTGCACTATTTTGGAGGTGGGGAGAACAGAACTAGAAGGAATCCTCACTGGAAGCCAATAAAAGTCACCTTTCACTACAAAGGAAGTTGTGGAAGTTCCAGATCTCTCTCTCCATTTCATCCCTTACTCTTTTAGGCAGGATTTCATAAAAAAGGTCAGCCTAAAACTGACCTCCACTGAGATAACTGTGCCTGCAGAGGATTTCCCTTAAACTAGTCCAGAGTTTTGGCAGTCTCTTTCAGTAAGGTCACTTGTAGGCTCAGAAAGCACCTTCAAGTTAATTTGTTTCTCTCAGGGTTTTGCTTTTTTAATTCACAAGGAAACTGGCCAGGAAGCATTTGGCTACTCTCCTTTGAAAAGGAGAGTACACTGCATGCCCTTGCACACTGAGAGGTCATTGATTCTATGGCTTGATGAAACACCCTTAGACTTGTCTATCATAAAGGGTTTTATAAATCTTTATCTACCATCATTTCACTTGAATAGACAAAGCAACCAGTCAAGAGACTGCACAGCAAGAGAGCCGAGATTCCTAAGCTTATGGTGCAAATAAGCCCTATCTTCCTAGACCTCTTAGGTTGCAGTTTGGTTTTTAATACCTTCTCCTCTTCCAGGTTTCTCTTGTCCAAACCCTCTGAGTCTCTCTAACCTCTATACTTCCAAGATTACCTCTTGTGCCCTTCCTTCTCTTTTTCCTTCCCAACTACTCCTTTCGGGTTCATTCTTTATACCCCAGTCTCATAGTTCTGGTAAAAGAATCTACTTCTGAGAATCCCCTTATGAACCAAAGTGGTTTCCTTTACTGATGACAGTAGGAAACATTACTAGTATGAGAGAGCAGTGCAGGTTTATGAGTCCTAAATGGGAAATGCCACCAACCAAGAGAGAAAATGGAGTTTTCCTCGGATCTGCAGCCACCTCCTCAGCCCCAGCAGGAAGAGCTCTATTGGTAGATGCAGCCTCTTGTTACAGTTGTTTCTTCCCAAGGGTCTAGCGAGAAGTACTGTGGAAGGCCTGAAAGGGACTTCTGCTATGAATGACTGTATTTTCATCTTTTCCCTACTCTGCCTTTGGTGGAGGTCTGAATGGTGAACAGGCAGCAGCTGAGGCAGAAAGCTGACTAATCCCAACTCGGGACAAGTAGCCCCAGGTTTAGAGCATTATCAGTGATTCCAGGAAGAAAAAGGAGGCAAGCTGGGGAGCATGGCGTAGGCCACAAGGAGGCTGGCTTCTAGCGGGCCTCTGCACCAGGGGCCAGTCACGTCACTCTTCTGAGCCTGGGCCTCCATATCTATGGGTGAGGGGTTTGCAAAATAACCATCAAGTGTCCATCCAGCTCTGAGGTCCTGGGGATAGTTCTGGGGACCTACAAAAGGAGCAGGAACTGAGATTCAGCCTTTATGTTATCAGCTGTGCTTTTGAAGGATTTCACTTTTGTTTTAAATTGAATTGACCTTTTTAAAAGCCTCTCTATGATGGTCTACTTACTAATTCCAGGCAAAGTAAAAATTTATTAAATGAATAAATCCAGAGAGATGCCAGGTACAAATTCTAGATCTAGCACATATGAATTGTATAACCTTGGCTATGTCATTTAGTCTTTTTAAAACTCTGTTTCAATATCATGAAATGGAGATAACATCTTTCTGGGCTGTAAGCTTCAAAGGCAGTGTAAATCCCCAGCATTGTGCCTGGCACAGCATAGGTACTGAATTCATGGTGGCCATTGTTGTTTTGTTTTCCAGTTCTTATTTTGTTCTCAGATACTAATCTGATTTTGGAGCTATCACAGAGTCTGGGCAAAAAATCAGTAATGGCCAGAAACTTGATTGAGTCCTGTGCCACCACCAACTTGATCTTTCAGGAATTACTGCCTTGAGTTAGCAGATGCCCAGTAGCCAGTTGTCGATTTAGCTTCACTGGACCTGCCCCAGGTAAGAATAGAGCCCCGCAGCAGATCAACACCCTAGAGCTAGTTTGAACTAGATCCCGAATGGCCGGGGAGCACCTCCACGAGTCTGGCTGAGTGGCCTCACGGTTCTGTAGCACACTGTCTTTTAGCAGGCTGGTTTCCCAAACCCACGTGTGCCTAGCATTTTATTTTAATCTTAGCACTTCTTCAGCCCCTTCTGGGTAGAAGCTTTCCCGAACACTCCCCCTGGAACTGTTTCTCCTGCCTCTTGAGAACATCACATTGCTTACCCTTGACACTCATAGGACACTAAAGATTTATTCAGATACATTTTCATTATGTCAGTCTGATTCTCCAACCAGATTTTTACATTAAGGGATTTCTAGATAGCCTTTATATAACAAAAACAACTAACATAATATTTTATAGTTTGCAAAGTAATCTCATATAGTCTATCTCACTGTGGTCCCCTCTGGTCTATGATAATGTCTTACTCATAGACATTGTGATCATAAGCACTTATTAGTCAATACCATTATATGTTTATCACAATATATAGTGAGCAGCTCAAGTTATGGATCTGAGGTATATTTTTTTTCTTCTTTGCTAGGTCACGATAAAGCTAAGTATGAGTGAATGACGGTCCATTGCACTCCTAAGCCATTTCCAGATCCAAACTTGTCTTTTTTTATATTTGGTTCTGGAACAAAGTTCTCATAGCACTGCTTTCTTTTTTAATCATTAAGGACCTAAGTAAGACTTGATAGAATGATGTTTGGTAATAAAGATGACTCATAATGATTACTCGTATTATCAATAATGAAAAGCAGGATCCTAAAACCAACCAAGATTTGTAAGAAAGGCAGGACTCACTTAAAATCTAAACACCACCACCATAACCCCTCACTTCCTGCACATGGGTCCTTAGTCTTAGACTTTTCCCCCAAGGTCCTTAAAGATGTTTCCAAGGCTGCCTGAGCTTGTGTAGCATCCCTGATATTGCTCGAGATGAAATGAAGTTAGCTGAAGATGAGACCAACATAAACAATTCTTAAGAACCAAGTCAGAGGCCTAGCACCTAAAGTAGAAAATTACTGCTAGCAGATAAAAACTGCCAAGATACAGTCTTGCCTCTGCTTTTTCCCTTGGGGAACTGGGAGACAGTAGAATGTAGCAATCCTAATGCGAGGGTGAAGAGCCCTAGTTGTAACCCTGAAATCTCACCTTGTCATTTGCTGGGGACATGTCTCTTTAACAGCCAACCAGTCCGTTTGATGGATATGCTAAGTGGGAGGGGTATGTCTTCTATCAGCCCGACTCCCAGGATTAATTGTCTTATCTCCATTCCCTTCCTCTCCAATCTGCCTTCAGAGCTTGGAGCTGCCAGTTTGTCCCCTTGCAGCTCTGCTTGCCCTTACTGCCTTCTCTCTTCCCCCCAGGAAGCCTCATGGCTGCAGAGCTGCCCCTAAAGCAAGACTAGAGGCGAAGCCCGCCAACAGCCCCTGCCCCTCCCATCCCAGCCTGGCCCAGATCACTCAGTTCCGAATGATGGTGTCTCTGGGACATTTAGCCAAAGGAGCCAGCCTGGACGATCTCATTGACAGCTGCATTCAATCTTTCGGTGAGTTGGCTAACTGCCTACATGCATAATAATTGCTATATTACTTTGTTCTTCCTTAAAAAGTGCTTTATAGAATAGCAACCTGGATTGTATTTTGGCTTTAAAAATAGCTTTTGAGCCTTTGAAATGTTGGAGACAGCCTGCAGAGCCTATCGCACATGACTATGTGGGTGTAATAGGTCGTGATGAGAAGTGCAATTTAAAGTGAGAAAAGTTACCGAGGAGAGTTTGCGTTTCCATTTTTCCTAGGATGGAGTTTTTTCTCGTGATGAAAAAATATCATAAAATGATACTGTGCATCTGGTGCTTTGACACTTTTCTGTTCTTATGTTCTTGGGGCAAGTAAAGACTGTTACTTGAGCAAATGTTATCAAACAGAAATTTGAATCATATGGAGAAATAAAGTCTCAGTAATTCCCCTTACAATCCGGAAGGTGGTTGTGGCTGCATAGGGAAGGGACTGGGTAACTCGAAAATGTCTGTGCCTAGGAGATAGTGGTTCTAAATGTTGTGGTGAGGGCCAGGGGCTAGGAGGCCAGCCCACAGCCACACGCCTCGGTGTGGCTTACTCAGGAACCGCACTTTGCACTCACCTTGAAGGATGTGCAGCTTTAGTGCAGCTGACAAGCCATTATCTGAAAAGATTTCTTTAAAATTTTATAAGCACTTTCTTTTGATTGTTATTTGTGAAATAGTGATTGAAAAGTACATACTTAATATTTGCTCCCTTCCAGAAAAGGAATGCTTAAAGTGGGTGGCTTTCAGTGAAATCTTTGAGTTCAAAGACTTCCAGCTTCACCTTCCCAGTGTGCTGCTTTTTGTGTTCTCTCTGTCCTATTGTGACGCCCTTGAGCCCCCACCCACCCCCCCCAGCCTCCCGGGAAGCCAAGGGGAGGCTTAATCAGATCCCAGGCAGCACAAGATTAGATCTCAGAACTGGGGACTATTAGCTGGACATGTTTAGTGCTTGCTCAGACCTTATTTATAGAATTGGGAAACATTTGACATTTTAGGGATATGCATTTAGTACAATTTAGTATATTGAACATTTTCAACTATTTCAACAATGGTTTAAAGTAATGGTTCTCAAACATTAGTGCATCAGAATCATGTGAAGGTTTTTTTGTGTTTTTGTTTTTTTTCCCCAAAATAACACAGACTACTGGGCCCCACCCCAAAGTTTCTGCTCTGGTGGGTCTGGGGTGGGACCCAACAATTTGCATTTCTAACAAGTTCCCAGGTGATGCTGATGCAGCTGAGACAAGCCCCCCCTTGAAGGTCACTGCTTTTGAAGTGGTGTTTGTTGTAGACTTTTTAACTTGGAGAGAGGGAGAATTTTTGTTATTACTAGCTCAGCATTAAATTTTAATTAAATTTATTTACAACTTAATCTTTCAGTTAAGGATGAATTTGGGCAAAGAATGAATGAATTTCTTCTCTTTTAAAATAATCTCCTTCAAAAATGTACATGAAGGAGGATAAACTAGAAGACAGTGGGGACTAGGGTAAGCGCCGCAGGTGAGGAGCCATGTTCATCGTGTCCTTTACCAGCACCTAGTTCGCTACTTTAATAAACTGCAAAGGAACCACAAAGTTCCTTTCACCTTTTTGTGGTCCTGTTTACTGGGCTTTAGCAGGACACTGCGACTATTTCATGAATAAGGATTTTTATTCTATTTCACATTTGAAAAAAGTGAGACCAAAAGTGTATTTATTTGTCACACTATCTGTCTTCCTCTCGTGCCAATAGTACAGCTACTGGCTGAGTTCAGGACTGTTTTCCTAGCCTTTGAATAATCGTGGCATCCAACTTGAAAAATACATGATTGATTCTGAAGTCCTTTTCCAAAATAACCAAGCCTAATTCACTCCTCTCAACAAATCCTATAAGGGAAATGATACAATTATTTTCTGGAATATGTTGAACTGAAAAAAGTGTCTTAAAATCCAAGAGCTGTAAAAATCCCATTGAGTCTTTTATCCACTATCAGGAAGCGTTGGTTACTCCCCTAGCTGCATCTGACACTGCGCCGGGCAGTGCACAAGGGGAATTACAGTGACCAAACACCTCTTCCGTTAGAGCTTAGAATACCTGAAAAATGCACTGTTCAGGAAAAAATATGTACGAAGCACAGGGCGATAATACACAAAGACGTGCAGGAAGTAGTATTTTTATGCCGTGTAGAGTTTGAGTAAGTGCAGTCTTCATGGGTGAGGACGTAGATTGAGGAAGACAGCCTCCATTCGTTCATGTCCTTCTTGGGCCATGCGAATGCTGTGGGAAGTCAGTGAGGGAAGAGCTCTGCGTTTTTGTGTATTATGTACTGCAGTTTCTTGTCGCAGAATTTACAGGAAAGAGGTGAAAAAGAAAAGACACTCTCATCTGGAGGGAAAGGGAGAGAGCACATTTGGTTTGTGATTTTCACTCTCCTCTTGCTCTGTGTGCGTGGGGTTGCAGCTTGGCGCTGAGCTATAGGGGGGACGGAGCCGGGAGCAGCAGCAGAGCTTATGACAGAGAAACCATGGCAGAGGACGTGCCTGTGGGACTCCTTGTGGGTGATCTGGGACTAGGACAGAGTGAGGCTGATGCTTCTCTTGAACCTTATCTTACTGGTTTATTTTCACAGGTTTGTATAGAAAAGTGTTGGTTTAGATGAAAGCAGTCTAGCTTAGTTATTTTGTTAATGAGTTTAGGTGTCTTCTCATTTTAATACCTGTGAAAGAGAAGGAGACAATACAGAAGTGTGGGGAAAAATTATTATTATTGGTACTCTCTTGCTTTAGACCCTGATGTCAACTACACCCACCAACTTGAAAAAAAGAAGAAAAAAACTATTTTGAAGATAAAGACTGGCTAATGAATTGTTAATTTACTTGCTACTGCCTTCTCAGCCTTACTTTCTTGCTTTTAGGAGGTTTGAATTGGCTAAAGCTGTGCTGTCCGGTACAGTAGCCACTAGCCACATGTAGCTATTTTCATATTCATTTCAATTAATTAAAATTAAATGTAAAATTGAATTCCTAAGCCTCATTAGCCACATAGGTGACCAATAGCCACACATGATGGCTACTACTGGACAGAGTAAATAGAGACTGTTTCCATTGTTGTGGAAAGTCTGTTGGACAGTGCTGGAGAGGGTTGATGATTAACTTGAAGGGGAAAAGCAATACATTCCAGAAAAAAGATTTTCTGGAAACTAGGGGATTTGCATTTTGCTAGCATTGTTAGGTAATAGCCTGAATATTGCTTAAAGCATCATGGGCATTCAGGAGTCTTTACTGATGGTTCTCTCTTTAGCATTATTAACCATTAATGACCACCCACATTGTTCTCAGAAAAAGGACTTACTCTAATGTTTTTAAGGACAGGTAGCCAGTATGTGCAAATTAAGGGTACTTTTGAAGGCCTCTAGCAAGCCTCCCAATGTCACTACAAGGTTACAGATCTGTGATTAGAAACTTAGAGCCTTGGGTCATAGTTCATTGTTTTAACCGGGAAACAACCTCCTCCCACCTTCTGTTTTAATCAGAGGTCAGGCTTTACATTCTCAGCATATTATTGCTGGTTAATCCACTTTGCAGCTGAGCAAATGAGGCAAATCATCACAACCTGTTACACATGTCAGATATATGTGAATCACACGCTCTGTTTCAGAGGTAGAAAAGACCTGTGAGATCATCTGGGCATTTAAATTTTTTTTTTTTTCAGTACCAATAAGTCTTTATTCATTGTATTTTCCCAGGGAAAGTAGAAAGGAAGGGAAAAGAGTCAGCATGTGTGCTACAAAATGATTAGAAAATGGGAAAGGAAGTACCCAGTACAGCAAAATCAACCATCAAATAAACATACCCCAGGATGGGGTCACCAAAGCCCAAGGGGGCTCAGTCTCCTGCAGTTCAGGAATAAGGGGAAGGGATCAGGAAAAGAACAGACAAGTACAGGCTTTCCTACCCTCCCTCCCCATAAATTCAAGATTTCACACAAAGCTTTGGTTTCTAGCAGTAAACATGGAGTTACATTTGTCCGTCTCCTATTAAACAATCTTGTGGCCACTTTGACATAAGTTTCGATTGTGAGAGGGCTGCCAGCATTTGGGGCCGAATGGAAGGCTTCCAGTGTTCAAATTCGCAGAGCTCTCTCCTTGTCCCCCTCTAAATGCAAGACAACTTCTGATAGCATCATAAAGACAACTGCACACCTGCTCCAGAAAGGGACCCTCAGCAAGTAGACCTCCTGGTGGGGTATGGGGGTATGAGAGTAAACTCAGTGTTTCATTTTACCTGTCAGTGTAAAGGGAAATCCATTCTATTATATTTATGGAGTATCTTTTATTTCTTGGAGTTCCGTTTGTATTGATTTTCTTTAATACTCAAACAAGTCTGTAATAGGTCAGATATTATCATCTCCTTGGAAAAAAACAAGAATAAATCAAGACTCTGAGAATTGAAACAACTTGCCTCATGCTCCCGGTGACAGGGCAAAACATGCTGCTCATATTTCCCTTCCCCTGCCCCTAGCAACTTGAGCTGGGTCAAGCTCAGACCTCCCCCCTAAGACAGGCCTTCCTGTGCTCAGGAGAGACCTGAGTGCATGTATGACAGACCTGCACCCTGTGCCCACCCTTCTGCAGGCCTGGCCTCCCCCAGATTAGAAATTAAACTCCATGCGTAAGAAATATTTTTTGGACTCCGTGTATATACCAGGCATCTGCCTGAAGTTCTCTGTTGAGCAAAGTATGAATCAATGGATTACTGTGTGCATTGTACTCTTTCTATCCAACGACCTCCAAAACTAGAAATAACCCCCAAAATAATAGGTATGTTTTCTCCAGCATGGAATAGTTGGATGTTAAAAGCATTGTGTAGACCTCAGCTTATTAAAGGTAAAATACTACATCTGTTTTTAAAATTGGAGCCAAGGAAGGCAAACGCACACTTGCGGGGACCACAGTTCCCTGTGTGGGAAAGGAAAGATTAGGTGTTTCTTACCACTCTGCAACTTGGTCTGTGCACCAAAGCAAGGTACCCAAAGGCAACAGGAGCACACAACCAGAAGCCAAGGTCCATGACATCAATGGGCATGTAGACTGGATAACAGGCATCTCCAAGGAACAAAGTCATACGTAGTGTCAGGAAGGGGCCTGAAGCCTTAGCCACTGATGACAGGTGCTATGTGAAGAAGAGCTCAGCTGTCCCAGAAGCCTCCTCAGTGGAACCCTCAGTCACTGTGAGTCATGATCACAGGGTTTCATATGTGAAGGATGGTCTTTTGGGCACCCACATTCTAAAGGCTTCTAGGCATCATGGCAGCTCCCAGGTTTTCTTAGCCCTGTAGAATAAATTAGCATTGTGTGATTGGATGCTGTTTATTCTGAGGAGCCCTCTGCTGCATCTTTGACAGGCTGGCATCACCCTGTGCCTCTGGCTGGTGTGTCTGTTCCGTGAGCATGAGTTTCAGTGACTGCCAGCCTGAGAAAGGAGGAGATGGGAAATGCCCTTGTCTCTCATCTGTACTGTCCTGTGTGATGCTGTTAATAGCAGCCCTCCCTCTGCAGAGAACAGAGATAGTCTCAGAAATGCTTATGCATAAGTTAGACAATGTCTCAGGAGTTCTCAGCATTTTAGTTTGGTTAATCCATCCAGAGAGATGAGTTTTACTGCTTAGAGAAAGAGAGGGACAGGCAGGCAGACAGTAGGCTGACAGTGGCTGAACAGTCACTTACCATGGCTCTGGAGGGTCCTGAGTTTTTACCTGAATTGACCCACATAATCTTCCCAACAAGCCTGCGAGTTGGATATTATTTTGCCCTTTTAATTAATAGGGAATTGAAGCTCAGGGAAGTTAAATGATGCGTGCAAAATGGTCCATCTCTTTAGGGAGAGAGCCACTGAGGTCTGAACTCTGGTCACTTTTTTCTCTGAGGCTCATGTTCTCTTCCTGCTACACGAGAGATTCTGCAACATTAGCATGAGGAATAATCATCAGGGGAGTGTGTTCAATGTTCAGATTCCTAACAGTCAAACCTAGAGATTTGTATTCAGCCAGCAGTCACTGTGGTTTTGTTGGAGGTGACCCATGAACTGGCTTTGAGAAATCTTCTCCTACAGCACACTGGTTTCCTGGACATCCCATAGCATGTTCCCAGGCTTTCTAGGAAAACATAGGAACATCTGAAGGGCACAGATCTCTGGAGGAGCAATAGAGCATTTGTTTTCCAGCTTTCTGAACCAGGAAGTCACATGGTGAAGCCAGCCTCTTGGAGATCCCTAAAGTAACCCCACCAGGTGTAACTAGAGAGAGGCTCTACCTGTGGGCAGGTTTGAAACCCTGGGACCACTTCTATCAGATTTTTCCTGCATTTCCGTTGCTTCTCACTATAGTAAACCCTCTGCAAAACTTGTAGCCTATTTGTCTTTTGCCATGGACTTAAAAAGAACGTGGATGTTGACCGGGCGCTGTGGCTCACGCCTGTAATCCTAGCTCTTGGGAGGCCGAGGCGGGCGGATTGCTCAAGGTCAGGAGTTCAAAACCAGCCTGAGCAAGAGCGAGACCCCGTCTCTACTATAAATTGAAAGAAATTAATTGGCCAACTGATATATATATAAAAAATTAGCCGGGCATGGTGGCGCATGCCTGTAGTCCCAGCTACTCGGGAGGCTGAGGCAGGAGGATCACTTGAGCCCAGGAGTTTGAGGTTGCTGTGAGCTAGGCTGATGCCACGGCACTCACTCTAGCCTGGACAACAAAGTGAGACTCTGTCGCAAAAAAAAAAAAAAAAAAAAACGTGGATGTTTGTTATAACTACAGTTGGGTTCTTTGCACTCAAAGGCAGCATTCCTTTGCGTGCATTTCCACCTTTATGCAACACTCCTGTTTCCTGTGGTGCTGTAGGTGCTTGCTCCTTAACTTACGCCCATCCCCCATGGGTCGGAGGCCTACAAGTAGTGGCCTAGCTGGGGAGGAACCGGAGCTGTGCTTTGCCTAAGTACTCCTCCAGAAGTGCCACTTTGCCAACAGATTCTTTAAGACAGTGTGTTGGCGTAAAGGCTATTAAGTCTGTGATGAAAACACATTAGGAAACCGTGTGAAAGCAAAAACACTCTGTTTGATAATTGACAGAAACAGCAGTGGTTGGGACCCTAAGACCTCTGGAGAAGGTCATCTAAAGTACAGTCCCACGTGTACCCTGCTGTTGTTAGAACATGTCTCCTTCTGCCGGGACCAGTTACAACTGCTAGACTTTGTGCCTTGTTCTGCAGTTACGGTGAGATTGGGCTTGCAAGCTCGTTGGGTTTGCCCTTGGAGTGCTTGGGAGGGAAAGAACTGGGCAAGAGCAAGAGTGTAAGCAGGGCCATCTGTGCAGGCACACCACCTGTGAACACACATGCACCCCCCCCCATTTGGTTTAATGCTATTGCAGTCTTGAAATTCTTAATAGTTTTCGATTGAGGGGTACCCCCATTTGCATCGCACTGTGTCCCACCAACTGTGTAGTAAGTGGTGAGTGTAAGAGTCACAAGACCAGAAGGCATAAGTAATTTGCCATGTGCTAAAGATACATAGAATGATATGGTTTTACATCTTACTGTTTTTTTCTTTATATAGAGGGGAAATTGTGGGGGAAAAAAAGTGTCATTATCTTCTAGCAGTGGTGTGCTGGACTGGTTTATACCAACTCAGAAGGGCAGATTGTTACATTTTCAGGAATTTTGTAAGTCTGTTATTTAACACAGCCATGATTAAAAGTTATATGAACTTACATTAAATTATATTAAAAATAAAGGTATGAAATACTCAAAACTCATCAGATGTTCCTGATACATTACCACATTTTACTATTAGGTTTGCTTTTGAGGCTGTGTCTGTTTTATACCACATTTCTATGTGGTATAAATGCTATATAATGGTATGCTACTGTGCATCTTTTCCCAGCTCTGTGTTCAGTGAAGTCATGCTAGTAGCTTGATACTGCCTATGTTGGGCGTATTTATACCGTGGAAATCAACAAACACTGATAATCATGGATCCTTCTTTAATCCCACCACTGAAGAGCCCATTGTTAAACATTTACCAGCACTCCACTCTCTCTCAGATACTGAGGATGCTTCCATAGCAAAGTATTAAGGTGGGAAGGGAAACTAGAAACTTGGGAATTTGATATCACCTAATTGGGAAAAAGTAATAATTCTGCCCTTGTTTTGCTTCTTTCACCTGTGTATCTTATAAAACAAACTCTCCATGTATTCTTCAAAGAAAAGGAACAATGCACCTTAGAGATAAATATCAGTGCAGTTGAGATGTTTTCTTAGAGTGACAATGGAGCTTAAAAACTAAAACAAACTAAAACTGAGAGATTCTCATTCTGGAGTCAAAGTTATCATGCTGGGTTTTTATTGCTTTAATTCACCTCTAAGATTAAATCATCCCTGTTTCTGACCAACCAAACCTCAATTTTGTGAACTTTTGTTCTTCACTATTATATGTTATCTGTATTTGTTTCTGATTCCATCTGTTTAATCATTTGCCTTCATTTCCCACTACATGGTAATAGGCACTATTGAAGCATAAACCAAGCTTTTGTTGAATGTGTTTCATAAGTGTGTTTGCTAACCATATTACCAATTTTATGAACTGCCTATTCATATCCTTTGCCTTTTTATCAGTTGCTGCTTACTGCTTTTATTATTAGCGGTTGGCAAAAGCTTTTTAAATAAAAAGCTGTTAACCCTTTGAATATCATTTTCTACAGGTATTTTTTTTCCCCATTTCCATTTTTATGTTGGGTTTAGTATTGTAATGTGTAGAAATTTTATATTTTCATGTAGTTTTTTTTTTTTTTTTTTAAGGAATCTTTTATTCTAAACTTTAAAAATATCCATATTCCAAAGATTTGGGGACTATTCCATTGTCATTTTAGTCAAAGTTTTATTAAATCCAGTGTATAATTCCATAATATATACTATTGTGGATGATCAGTAAAAGTTTGTCTATAAGTTATTGCTAGAGAAAAAGAAGCCTTCGGTTTTGTTTCTGAGATTGTTATTGGCATAAAACCACAGGGCTTGGATAGGTCTACCTTGTAATTCAGAGCCTCAGTTTCCCCTCATTGTGATAGTGTTAAAATGATTTCTGAGACTAAAAATGTGTGGGAAAAGATGTAGTGAAGGCTCAATCATGGTATTGAACATGAACTTGAAGAAAGTCCTTCAGGAATTTGTATATTTAAAGGTGGTGCTTTTGATCTGTTTAAAGAGCCAATATCCTTAGGGTGGAGTCTTAGAAACCCAACCAAGTTTAAATCCATTTTTTCTAAATTATTTCATACAGACTGGACTCTATATTATTCTTACATAGACTTTTTTCATTGTGGTAAAATATACTGTAAAATCAATGACTTACATAAGCTTTTAAAATATTTTAGTAATAGCTAACTTTTGAGTATTTACTATAAACAACACAGCGTTGCTGTATTATATACATAGTCTCATTTAATTCCCAGTATTTTATAAGTTCTTATATTGATACAGATTTAACTGTAACTTACCTCTTGTACTTACTTTTTAAATTTAAATAACTTTTACAATTATTCTTGTTCACTATAGAAAATTTAGAAAATACAGACTAGCAAAAAGAAAAAAAACTACAGTCACCATCCTATCACCAAGAGCAAGATAAGCATTATCAACACTCTGGGTGTATCTTTCTATAATCACATTAACTTTTTGATAATAGAGTCACTATAATTAACTCTGCTTTCCATAATTTACATTTCAAACAATTAAGAACTTGAAATCAACATTAGTATCTATGAAGAGGTGTGCTAGCACACAAGGTTGCTATTCTATCCTAAAATTGATTTGAAAATAATTCTGGCATAATCCCTTCAAATAGCGGACATAAAAGGCAAGGTTGCTTGGCAACTGAAATGATGCTAATAAGGAATTAAAGGCATTACAAGAAGAGTACTCAAATCTTTCCAATGCTAAATGCTAATTACAATAACTAGCTGATTATAGTTGTAGTAAATGAAGGAAACAAACAAAAAAAAATTCCACTAACTTAAAATTCTAGGTGTGAGCTTTCTTTTTCTGTCTACAATGAAAGTGAGATGGGGGTTGTTGAAGAGAAGTTTTCTAAGAGAATCTTAAGAAATAGCAACTGGGGTGAGACACATAGCAGAAACGTGAAGATACCACCGTTTGGTACCTGTGGGATCCTTCTTCAGCATAGAAGAGATGGTGGGCAGTGGTGTGGGGGAGGCCATGTTGTCTACTTGGTTTTTTTCCAGAGAGTGGTCAAAGGCCCTGGGGAGACTGCTGGTTCTTACTAGAATCTTCAAGCAGAAGATGCTGCCAGGGTGGAGATGAACTTGGAGGGACACCAGTGATTAACTGAAATGGACAAAAGGGGTAGAGCCTGGAAGGGGGAGAGGGAAGCAGAGATTGTCAGTTTCGTAGTGTAGAAGAGAATGCAATAACCAGAGTAGTAAGGCAGTCATGGATGAAGCCATGTGAGAACTTATAAAAGATACGTCCTTAAGCCAGAAAGTGAGAATTTCCGGGTGGAGGAGTAAATAGAACTATGTCTGTCTCCCCTTCTCTGATCTATGTGAGCCATGGTCTAGGACTTGGTTTTGTAATCTTGCAAACAGCTAAAGGGGAACCCAGAGCATTTAGGAAGCCAAGAAACATCCCAGTTGTCATTTATGAGTCTGTCTTGTTGGAATGTAGAGACTACAGACCGGGCGTCCTCAAACTACGGCCCACAGGCCACATGCAGGTGTTTTTGCCCATTTGTATTTTTACTTCAAAATAAGATACGTGCAGTGTGCCTAGGAATTTGTTCATAGATTTTTTTTAAAACTATAGTCCGGCCCTCCAACGGTCTGAGGGACAGTGAACTGGCCCCCTGTTTAAAAAGTTTGAGGACCCCTGCTACAGACCATCCTAAAATCTGATGAGTGGTTAGTCATTTTGGTTAATTTTGCATTCACCTATTTAAAGCCAAATGCATAGGGGCTTTTTCCCATTCCCTCCTTCCTCCCCAGTTCGTTAGCATTATGAATTCCAGGTTTGCTCCATCCAAAGCTGCCTTGGTGAGTTCACCATGTACCTCCAATCCTAGGGAGTTCGGGCCAGACTCTGACTTGTTCCAGCTTCTGATATGCTGCTTCCCAGAAGATAGCCCTCGCACCCACGCTGCTGGCCACTGGACGCTGTTGTCAGTTATTGCCAAGGACGAGTGCTTGGTCTTAGCAATTGACTCAGGGGTTCACCTGACCGTTTGGCCCTGCTTTGAACCTCAAAGGAAAAACTCCGTATGCTTACTGTTCGTGTGGTCCCCACACCTCTCTGTCCCCAGTGGTGTAGAGTTCCATTACCTTGTCAGCAACCACCAGTGCCTACCTGAGATGGACTAAACTCCAGTTAACTGAGAAAGTGCCCACTCAAAATTATAAGAAAAAAAGATGGAGGAGGATCCTCTGGATTAAAAGAGACTTAAGAGACATTTCAACCAGTCATAGTGGGTGAACCTTCGTTTTAAAAATTATGTGTGTGTATATACACACACACTCATATAATTGTATACATTTGGAAATTTGGACACTGAATATTTGATGATATTAAGAAATTACTGTTGGTTTTGTTTTAGTTAATGGTGCATTTGTTTGTTTTTTTCTTATTTTCAAAAATATATACTGAAATAGTTACTGATGAAATATCATGTTTGAGGTTTGCTTTAAAATAATACAGGAGGGGAAATGAGTGGGGTGGAGATGGGTCACAGTCGGCCTTATGCTGATCACTGTTGCAGCCGGGTGAGTTCATGGGAGTTCCTTACACTGTTTTGCTTACTGTGGTATATGCTTAAAATTTTACATAATAAAATATTAAAAACAAAAGTGTCCTCAAAACTAAGAAAAATAGATGATTGAGAACTACAAAAAAATTAAAAGAATCTATTGCTCTAATTTTCTTGAATGGCAAAATAGGCTGTGTTTTAAAGGGGGGAAAGGAAAGAATGAAAACAGGTACTTCGGTTACACACCCTGGAAATACCTTATTCGTATCTTGTGCTTAACAATCCTGTGTCACAGCCAGCCCATTCCCCACTCAACGCTGGTTGTTGAATTCCTGAGTATCCAAAAAGACAAGAAAATATAATGGAAACTTTAATCTTCCATCCTACTGTTAGAGGTGGGAGTTAGAGTTAAGAGAGTGAGGGAATGTGATACTCTCCTCCCCACCCTGTCCTTCCACCCACACACACCTCATTTTGAGCAAGGAAATGCCATGGCCATGGCACAGACTGATTTCCGCAAGGCAGTGAAGAGATTTCAGCAGGAAGCCCTGGGAGGCCAAATAGCATTGTGGTCTTGGGAATGCAAAACCTACTCTGCCATTTACCAAATGTTGGCCTTAGGCACCTTATTTTACTGAAGTTTTCTCATCAGCAAAACAGAGAATAAAGGTGAAAAATCTTAAAGGTTGTTTTAGTTTGGGTGAAAATTAAATAAGATTGTCTTAGTTTGGGTTTTCCCCAGAAGCAGATCCTGAGACAAGGGGTTTTGAGTACAAATAGTTTACTATGGAAGATGATCCTAGGAAAAACTAGTAGGGGGTGGGGTGGGGAGTAGGGAAGGCAGCTCATAAAGGCTTCATTATCAATTTACTACTCTAGCAGTCAGGGTAGACGACTCTAGAACTAGAGTCACTTAAGTCTAGAACTAGAACTCTGGAACTAGAACTCTTACCCAAGGGAAGGGAGCTGGGGTACTTATTAATATATGCAAGTCCTATCAGTTATTGGTTGGGAGCTGCTTCTAGAGGGTGTTAATTCTCTAGCACTCCTGGCCTGCCTTGCACACAGGTAGAAGTATGAAGGGCCTCTAGAAAATTCTCAAGCAGGTGGAAGTTGGGTTGGCATACACTGCGAGGGTAAGGTCTGCAAGTATGTGGGTGGGAACTGACAAGCTCTGCTACAAAGTCTAAAAGCAAGTGCTCATTAGATGGGCAAATATAGGCTACATACAAATCCAGATGAACAGATTTGAAACTGGTCAATGGTCAAACTCAAAGTGTATACATACAGATATGAGTATGGACAGGTGTCATTCTGTAGGTATAACCATTTATGAGTGGCTCTGGACATTTTCATCAAATTTAAACACAATCTATGTTTTTGTTAGACACACTGCTGGGAATAGTAAGTATATTAGATAATTATCAAAATTCAGGAAGATGAATAATATAAAACAATGAACTTAAATAGGACTTCAGTAAAAACAAAATTTTGCACTTAAGTTTAAAAATATTGTTTCCTATATATTCTAGATGGAGGAAAAACTGGATTCATGGTACTTACTAGTTCTGGTGAAAAATATCAAGGGATTTTAGTAGACTGCAAATTCAATATGAGTCGGTAATGTCATATGTATCCTCAAAAAGTTAAAATAATCTGAGATTGCATTAATATAAATAGATTTGCCATGTTAAAGACTTAATGCTCCCATTCGGTTCTGAGTTCCAGCCTTAATTCTTATACATAGTAACTTTGTGCTCTTAGGAAGTTTCTGAATGTTTCTAAGACTCACTTTTTATCAATGTGAAAGTTAGTAAATATTTCCCTGGATTGTTGTGAAGTGGGTGTTTTACGAGAAAGATAGAACTAGATAGGCACGGTGGTTTACACTTCTTAATCCCAGTGCTTTGGAAGGCTGAGACAGGAAGATCCCTTGAGCCCAGGAGTTTGAGACAAGCCTGGGCAACATAATGAGACCCCCATCTCTACAAAATATTTTAAAAATCACTCAGGCATGCTGGCACATGCCTGTAGTCCTAGATACCTGAGAGGCTAAGGCAGAAGGATTCCTTGAGCCCAGGAGTTCAAGGTTGAAATGAGCTATCATTGCATCACTGCACTGCAGGCTAAGTGACAGAGTCTCTAAAAATAAAAAAAAAGAATTTATGTAAAATATTATCATAATTTCATTATATAGTAGATACTCAAAGATGATACCAATCATTATTAGTATAAACTTGATGAATGTTAGTGTATCACTCCCTCAGGTTAATAATGTAATTGGCCATAGGATACAAAAATCACATCATAGAGATACAAAATGATTGGAATGGTTGTGTCAAAAAAATTACCAGGATGTTATCATAATAGACACAAGCATGTATATGACTAGAAAGTAGTATTATAATTTAAATATTTACATGGATTTGAGCTATATTAATTTAGTGTTCAGTAAATAAGACCCCAAAAGGGTCTCATTTTTCAAAGTATTAATCAGGACAATGACAGAAATCCAACATAAACTATCTTTTGAAATTTATTATAAGGAATATGAGATATTTCATGTTACTAAAACACAGGAATAGTACAAGATGCCTGTAGGCCTTGGGTACATCTGGAATTAGGGAATAGAATAGGCTTGAGGGACTCCAGCATGTATTCATTCTGTGTGTGTGTGTGTGTCTATGTGCATCTCTTCTCTCTCTGACTTCTCTGCTTGTGAGCTAATCATTCTCTTACACTGAAGATGTGTTCCCTCCATAGGTGGGAAACATGGCACTAACAGCTGTAAATCATGCATCTCTTACCATTAGAGATTTAATATTTTTTTCCTCAAGTTCAGTAAAAAAAAACTACCAGGGAAAAACCTTAATAGGTTCACATGGGCCAAGTGGCTACTGCTCGAGTCAATCAACTGTGGTCACAGGAGTGGCGTCATTTAGTAATGCAGCATTTCTCTCCATAAGCACGTGATTGAATCTGGGGAAGGAATGATTCCCAGAGGAAGGCTGATGTGCAGGGCACACAAAGCAGTATCTGTCTGTTGTTATACCAAGATCTGACCAGACACTAGAGTGCAGCATGTTATTGATTCAGGTTCAGTCTCTGGTTTTTTATGATGGGAATGGAAAGGCTAGAGAGAGTGTAGAAGAGATAAATAGTTAAGAAATGATATAGAAATAAAATCTATGAGGATATAAGATGACAACAAACAAGTGGCTTTTTCTTCTTTGTCTTTGAAGTGTTAATTATATATGTGTGTCTTGATAGTGTTAAGCATAGAAGAGCTAGTATGAGTTATTTACCTCTAAGAGGACATATAAAGAGTACATGGATTTAAATTCAGCAAAGAACTGGGACTTCCCATTTTTTAAGGTATTAAAAACAGGAACTTCCAAAACAGAAACTTCTATTTATGACCATAGTGGAATGAATATTGGGTATTAGAATTATTTTCCTGTTGTAAACAGCTATAAAACTAGATGAAATATGTGAAGCAACTATTTTCAGGTATTGGAAAACAAGGCAGCCTTATGATTGTGGATTAAAACAAAAAGATATGAGTTGAACTCAAAACTCATGTTGGCTTTTTGCCTGGGAACACTTAATAAATCATGGTAGTATAGGAAACTGGAGCCCAGAGCGCAGCCTCTTGCCTTGCAGACTGTTTTAGTCTGTTTTCTGCTACTATAACAGAATGGCACAGACTGGGTAATTTATGAAAAGATTTAGTTGGCTGTGAAGCATCAATGGTTCTGGAGGCTGGGAAGTCCAAAGTGGAGGGGCCACATCTGGTCCAGGCCTTCTTGCTGTACCATAACATGGCAGAAGGCATCACATGGAGAGAGAAAAAGGGGCCAAACTCCCTCAGTAACTAACCCACTCCCAAGATAATGGCATTAATCTATTCATGCAGGTGAAGCCCTTATGATCTAATCACTTCTTAAAGGCCCCATTCTTTTAATACTATTACAGTGGCAATTAAATTTCAACATGAGTTTTGGAGGGGACATTCAAACCAAAGCAAAGAGAGAACAGAGTTTGTGTTCAGGGTTTCTGAGACTAAGTATGTATGGATATGTGAGACTCTGTGACACCAAAAATTTACTGGGTACCAAAGGATGTCTTGTAGTCTGGGAAATACTGCCTTTCCATCCAGCCAGAGTGGACAGACATAACACTTTTAGCATTCAGGTGGGATGTGGAAAAGGCTACAGTGTAGGAGTTGGGCTACTCTAGCCCTAGAATAAGAGCTATTCTTAACAAAGCTTAAATCTAATCCTTGATCAATCTAAGGCTCCCATAGCTTAAATGCTTCTATAAAGGAACATAATCCAGATTCTCACTATTTCATCCACAATGTCAAGCATGTAATAAAAAATTACAAGGCAGAAAAGGTCAGAAAATGTAACCCATAACTAGAATAAAAAAGATCAATAGAAATGAACTCAGAGATGACACAAATGTTTGAACTAGTAGAAAGAATTTAAAATAGCTATTGCAAATAAACATGTTGGAGGATTTAAACTAGGTTGAATAGATGAGTCATTTTGACCAAGAAATGGAAACAATAAAAAGGACCAAATGGAATTCCAGAACTGAAAAATAAAAATTCACTGGATGGGCTTAATACTACATTGTCTGCTATTTAAAAAAAAAAAAAAAAAAGGCAGCAGCTGGATGTGGTGGCTCATGCCTATAATCCTAGCACTCTGGGAGGCCAAGGCGAGAGGATCGCTTGAGCTTAGGAGTTTGAGACCAGCCTGAGCCCCCGTCTCTAATAATAGAAAGAAATTATTTGGACAACTAAAAATATATAGAAAAAATTAGCCGAGCATGGTAGCGCATGCCTGTAATCCCAGCTACTCAGGAGGCTGAGGCAGGAGGATCGCTTGAAGAATGATTTGTGAAGTTGAAGGCAGGTCAATATCTCAGAGAGAAAAGGCTGACCAGAAAGATAACCCCAAAACCAGAGTTTCAGATGATGTAACCAGAGTTTATATGGAAATGAAAGGACCTGGGATAGCCAAAACAATCTTGAAAAATGAAGCTGGAAAATTTATACTACCTGGGTTCACAACTTACTATAAAGCTACTGTAATTTCTGTGTGGTATATGCATAAGGATAGACAAATATATCAGTGGAACAGAATAGCAAATTCAGAAATATATCCACATATATGGTCAGTTGATCTTCAACAAAGACTTCAAAGCAAGTGAATGGAGAAAGGAATGCCGTTTTAATAAATGGCGATGGAACAGAAGATATGCATGAAAAAGATGAACCGTGACCTGTATAACATTAACCTGAATTTCAAGTTAAAACAATAATGCTGCAACTGTTGCTAATCAGAGTGTATATTCAGGGCAACTTGAATCTATATTCTTGGTTGCAGTCCTCAAACTTGGCTCAAATAAACTCTCTACTTATATTAGAAAAAAACCCAAAAAACCAATAATGCTTCTAGAAGGAGATTTAGGAGACTATTTTTGCAAGCTTGGGGTAGGTATTTTTAGATAGGATGCAAAAGGCTAACCATAAATAATATATTTAACAAACTGGACTTCATAAAAATCAAAAACTTGTTCTGCTTATCAAAAGATACCATTAAAAAAAAGAATGGGTTAGCCGCAGAATGGGAGAAAATACTTGGCAATACATATCTCTGACAAGAACTTTTATTTATGCTAATATACAACAGGAAATTCCCTGTGGCTCAGATAAATTAAGCTTGATCCTCTGGCTCACACCAGATTGATCTCTGATCGTGCTTTTTGAATTAGGACTAACTAAGCCCCCGCCCCCAGGGAGTCTGTAATGTTCGTACCAAATCACCTATTTGTTAAGTGCTTCCCTTGCATCTAGCCCTGGACACAGCTAAAAGACTTCACCACTGACTTCTGAAATCAGAAGGGTCTTCCAGGGGTCATTTAGTAGTAGGTTGTAGACCTACCCCAGGGCAAAGCATGAACTAAATGGTCTAAGTCAACCTAATCAAACATGACGGATCATCAGATCCCTGGAGAGTTTTTAAGAATGCAGATTCCATGCTCCATGCCTGGATCTCTGAATGCAGTAGGTATGATGTAAGGCCTTGGAATCCGTCTTGGGTTTTTGTTGTTTTGTTTAGGCTAGTCAAGTAAAGCAGTGGGAGTGGTAGGGGAACAAAGAAATCTGTAACTGGTTGTGATTAATTAGTTGTAAACACCACTCTCCTCTCTGATCAGCCTTTGTTTTGTTTTTAAGCTACTCAGAAGGTCTTGAAAAGTCAGCTTTAATTTGTCCGTTTGCTTCTTGATGGACATATTCTTTAGAAGAGCAAAAATATCTGTCTTTCCACTAAAACTCTCCAAAGGGTGAGTAGTGGTCTTAATTATTATTAAGGCCTCCTCACTAGGAAAAAAATTTACCCACTAGGGCCCCAAATTTTACCTATTGTGAATTTTTCTTTTCATTATGTTATTTCCTCTATGATATTGAAGAAGATTGAAGTCTCTAATACCTTAACATGGGTAGACCTTTCCTGGGGTTTGCACAGGTGGGCATTTTTACACTGCTGAAACAAGGAAGATAAAAGAGGAAAAAAGCCTACCAAAAGGGGAAAGCATTCAAGTCCTTACCTACTTTACAATCTGCTCTAGCTAGCCCAATCTTGGCTGGCTACAGGGTTATAATTTTATTTAAAACATTGGCACGGATCAGAGGCAGATGTGCCAGGTGGTGCTTATGAGAGACAAAAGATGAAATAACCATATTTATCCCACTGTAATAAAATCCTCAGCCAAGCAGGCGAAGCCAAAGCCTTGCCAACTTTAAGCCTCATCCTTGCTGACTTCTCGTACATTTCGGAGGCCTGGAGTTCTTCCAGAAGTGAGTAATACAGCATCCCCGTGACAGATCTGGGAAGCCCTAGAGTTCTTGCTCGTCTGTAATCACGGATGTCCTTCCATTACAGTTTCTCAGCTTCTAAGAAGGCAGAGAAGGATGTAGACAGGGAAGGGAAATTGAGGAGTAAGATGCTAATGCTGGTAAAATGAGGGAGGAAAATACTAACTGCAAGTAACCGAGCTTCCTAATAATAACAAGATCAGTCGAGTTTAGCCGAAGTTGAACTCTGTTTCATGTGCAGCTAGTGCACATGAGTGTACACGCACTCACAGCCTCTGACCTTCCCTTGGTGGTTGTCTCTCTTCAGGGCTATGTAGTTAGGGAAAAGTACACGAGTAGAAATTAAAATTAGATTCAAGGTTCTTAAGAAATGATCCACCTTGAAAAGAGCCCTTGGTCCAACAACCTGGCAATTTTAACAGAATGCCAAGTTCAAGTTCAAGGGTGCTGCTTTCCTCTTTCAGTACTTTTTTTCTGCTTTGCAGCTTTAAGGAAAAAATCAGAATATGGGCAACTCCCAATCTAGTATGTGAGGTCCCAACACTCTGACTCTGCACTGCATTTCTATACTCCTCTCTCTACCTACAAGTACTTTTTAATTCAGCCGAACTGAGTGTCACATCCTTTCCTAAATATACCTTTAACTCTGTCATCTCCAAACCCAGAAACCACTTTTTACCCAACTGAGCAGCCCTTACCTCCATCTGAGCCTGTCAAACTCTGACGCCCCTTCAAGGCCTACCTCAAATGCCACATTGTTTATGAAGGTTTAGCTGTTTGTTCTAGTCGAACCTGGCCTCTCCCTCCTCTAAACTGCCTTGGCATCCTGTTTGGATCGCCGTCCAGGTCCTTGCTATTTCTGCACTGTGTTATTGCCTGTAGCTTCTTGAGGCTGGGGCAGGATGCCTCCTATATCTGCAACCCTGTCCCGGTGCTCTTTGAACAAAGAACCTTGGACTTCTGATGAAAAAGCTCAAGCCTGGAACTCCAACTCTGCAACTTCGTGGTGGTGTTATCCCTGGGCCAGTTATATATCCAGAGGTGGTATTCAAAATATTCATTAACTGGTATGGCACAAGCCGTCATCAATCTGAACAGACGCCGGTTGGACAGATTGAATTTCAGCCCTCTCTTTGTGCCTTTCTCATCTGTGAAGTGGATATAGTCATACGCACCTCCCAAGGTAGTTGTGTTGGTCAAACAGGAGGAAAGTACTTTGTAAAGTGAAAAGTTTATGCAAATGAAAGGGTCCTTTGGTGGTATTTCCAGAGGCCACGTGTGGGGTTGCACAGCCCTCAGCATCACCTCCTGCACTGCTCTGCCTACAGAGCAAACCAGGGAATTGTTGAGTAATTGAGCAGGACACCACAAATTTGAGAAGTCTTGGAATCAGCCTGTTAGATCCTAAAGGAATTCAGAATATCAGCCTCTTCAAGCATGGCCTCTTACTTCTTTTGACCTGAAAAATACCAATTTTTCAGTAGATAAGTTTTAGATAGTCAAAAGCCTAGGAAAACTTTTAGAATTTTAGTCTCAGTTTTTCCTCACTTGAAGATACCTTGTTTTTTTGCACAATGACCTTGAAATTCCAGGATCCTTAAAGATATCTGAGAATCTCAGACTCATCTGATTGTCACTGTCTGGCAAGGGGCTGCCCCGCCTAGATATGTAAGTGGAATTAAATGCCAGAGACAATAACATAGATTAAGAAAACAGTAAATCATCTTCCTGTGTCCTTACAGTTTCTTGTCTTTTCCTTTTACTGTATTTTCTCAAAAACTATCTTAATTTTCCTTACCATCACCTGCCTGCATCCCTTCACATCTCCTGATCCTGGGGATATGAATCTGTAGGGACTTCTCCCTTCCAGAGGCAGTTAACTCTTTCTCCATGTTAAGTGGCCAGTCACTGCCTTGTGTTTATTGGTAGTTGCTAGTTGAGGTCTGTTCTTACATACTTTGATTTAAATGGGGGAAATGGTCCCAGTGTAGTGTGTAGAGCAGGGTACTAGAGACTGTAGGGAACTGACAGAAAGTAGACACAACCCTTAGACTTACCCTTGAAGGACTGCCATTTAAAAAACAATGCAATACTATGGTAGATAGGAACAACTTAAAAACCTAGAATCAAAATTACAAAATAGCCAGGATAATTCGTAGTCCCTTCCTGCTACTTCATAGCTTGGGAAAAATGTGGCAAAAAAAATACCATTGACAAGGTATTTTTTTTTTTTTTTACCTCTCTTGAGTCTCTTTCTTCATGTGTGAAACAGGGAAAACGTCTACCATGCAGAGTTGTAGTCAAGATTAGAGAGAATGTCTGTAACCTGGCCTAGGCCACTTCTGGCACATGGTAGAGGCTTGGTATAGGGTGGTGATGATTGTTATTAGTATTCTCTTTTAGCATGTGGGCTAGCTTCGGAAACCCTCAATGGCCGAGTAAAGGATGTCCTTTTTTATCTTCACAACTCTCACGGTGAGAGGCAGTGAGGTCTGGTGGAAAGCTCAGGGTCAAAGTTAAAAGACTAGACTTGAGTCCCGGCACTGCAACTCATTGCATGGGTGACTTTGGGCAGGACACGCCACACATGGGTATAGTGAAAATAATACCCATCCCACTGAGCTGCTGTAGGGCTCAAATGAGATAACATGCAAGGAGGGAGTGGTTGTCCATAAAACACTAATAAATGTAGGTTATTAGTACTTCTACAACAGAGTGAAGGTTTCACGTGTCTACGTGACAACAGTGAGGCAGCCTAGATATTTGGGACCCACAGGCCAACCAGACATCACAGTGGTTTAAATTCAGTTCAGGGCCTTGTTTTCCCCAGAAGATATCAATGAATTTTTCCTATCTTGGCTATCTCCTCATTATCTCTCTGCTGGGAGGGATGGGCGTGAGACATCATAAAGTTCTCGCTCTACAAGTGAGCACATAGGAACTCAGAAAGAATCCAGGCCATCCCAGAGCCAGGTGGCCTGGGTTTGAACCTCAGCTCTACCACTTACTAGCTGTGTAAACTTGGGCAAGTTACCTCACCCCCTAGCCTCCATTTATTCACTGGCAATAATGCCACCTCTCTCATGGTTAATGTACATCAAGGCCCTCTTGGAACACTGTCTGGTACACAGGAAGTGATCCGAGTATGTTAGCAAAAAGAAAGCAAGAGAGAGAAGGTGGAGGTGCTAAACTCTGAACATGGTTGGTTGCTGCATTTCCTCCAATAATATCAAATATTTCTCCTGGTCTCTTCCATCTGCCAGTTAGTAACAACATTACGAGTTTCAATGTTGTATTTTGGCTGTTTTTCTAGAACAGTGGCACAACATCAGTTCATGACGTGGGAGATTTTGAAACACATTGTTATTTGGCTCTTGACTTCTGGGTAGAGTCCAATTTCTTCTTTCTTTGAGATAATAAGAGATTTACCTGTGCAGTTCTGTCTTTTCAGAGTGCTTCTCCAGGTCCTGCTGCAGGTTCCTCTTGAGCATCTCTGTGAACTCGAAGAAATTCTTTTGACATGAGGGTCTTGGGGAAGGGGGTGCTTAAAAATCTATGACTGAAAGGAAGTTTAGAAAGGCCACCAGCTAACTGCCAAGGAGTGACACTATGCTTGAGAGGAAACCAAATTCGATCTCATTGGCATAAACATTGTGACTAACCACAGTGGACGGCCACTCTTTGAGTTATGGTTGTAGTTAAGCGTTGATGGAAAATCATGGCCCCAGTCTGGAATAGATGAGGACTAACATGGACAATGAAAAAGCAAACTTGTGTTCTAAATGCAACAAGAGAAATAAAAACAGTTCACCATGTTGTAGTGCTTCACAGTATACTAAGCATTTTTATATGTTTAATTCAACATAATCTAATCCTAACTACAACCAAAGAAGGGGAAGAGAGAGTTTCAGAATAATTTCTACCTTATTTCAAAAGACTTTGCTCAGTTACTTTTTACTATATATAGTGGATATGATGTTTTTTGTACAGGACTGTTTAATGCAGAGAATTATAAGCACAGGACAGTTTCTGTGGTGAAAAGCGTGTTTTGTGGTAAGACTGTATTCAGTGTATTGCTATTTTATGTCAGCATACACCAGTTGCTGCAGTTCTGTCGTGCACTGCAACAAGGTTATCTGTCATCTAGGCTTGTAAGTCTGATAGAATCAAGTTACACATTTAGAAAAGTTTTCTAAAGAAAGCTGAGGTCATAACTAACCAGTAATTCTCACATAGACCTTATGTTGTTTTATTGTGTAAGTTTTTGGGAAGTTCCCCTTCTTAGCACCTATTTGGCAGGTCTAAAAATATGCAATAAAATGCCCAGAATTTCACAGACAAGAATGGAGTGATAGGAATGTGCTCAAATGAGCAAGGTAAGAACGCTGCCCCAGATTTTCTTCTTGACTTGTTTGTGTCTGTCCCCTGGCCCTTGGTCGGCCCCCCACCCAGCCTACTGGCAGCTCTCTGTGTCCTTCTGGGAATCTAGGACAGGGCCTTGCTTCTCCGTCTCCTCTTGCTGGGCACATTCCTGTTGTTCTGCAGTGGGAATTGTCACTGCCTGTGAACCAAGTAGTCTGCAAATTGACGACAGCTCACCAAAGAATCAAATTGCAGTGTAACTACCCAGACAGATAATTTGATTTTCCCTGGGGAGCCTGATGGGGCCCCAGAAGTAGCCACCTGGGATATATATATTTAGTTGGCACTAACTTCAGCAATGACTCTTACAGTGTGAAGGCATGACGTTGTCCCAGAGCCAGCTCCCTGGGTCTGCCCAGGACTCATCCTGCCTCCTCCCTGCCCTTGTGTTTAGCTCCTAATCCCAGCCCCCACCCACAGAATTGTGTCCAGTTTACAAAATTAAAGAGAACAAGTTTCCTCACGACTTCTCAGCCCCTTGATTCTTCAGACGTGACTGGTCCAGATCGAGGCTGCAGTCCCCAAGGAAGGCCAGCTGTCTTGCTCAGCAGAGGCTATACAGCTAAAAGCTCTTTCTCATTTTAGGCAATTCATGCGCTTGGTTAGACATTTATAGATTTCAATTGCTCATCCAAAAAATCTAGGTCATTCTTTACATGGAGCCTCACGGTTCAGAAGGAAAGCCGTGCCTGGGGAGGAACGTCTCTGTTGACTGTTGACGTCTGGTTTGGCCGAGGGAGTGGGGAGTGCTCCTGTAGGAGGAGGGAGAGACAGGCCGACACTGGGTGCTGTGAGCTCTCAGGGGACTTGGCATTTTCACTGGCCAGCCACCCATTCACAGACTCTGAGTTCTAGTTGTCCTAGCTAAATGGTGCCAATAAATAGCTGCTTTGTGTTGATGTCATAAAAAGTGGTGGGTTTAAGGGTTAGGCTCTCCAGGGCCATTTTTAGGGTATGTACCATAATTCCAAGGAGAAGGACTAGGTTGGTCTGTCTGGGTGTATGGCTTCTTGGGGAGGAAAAAGGAGTGGGGTTGTGGGTGACGGGTTTAGCCTTGCATCATAGATGGCCAAATGGTAGGGCTCTTCCCAGTATAGTCCCACCTACCTCCTAATCCCTGAGGGGAAGCACAGGCCAAGGAAAGAGCCCTGGGTTGGGAGCCTAAAGGTCATTCTTGTGGATGTGCCTCCCCTCACGGGCTCTGTGACTATGGCGAGGCATGTTGCCTTAGTTTCTCCATCTTTAAAATTGAGCCCATGATCCCTGCTATTGCAGGGAGGAGTTGCACAACTCAGATGTTCACAACTTCACAGGTGAAGCCGTATGTTGGGCCTAAGTGTCATAAAAACATAACATATTGCTATCAGGTGTCCTCAGCTAGGGAGAAGAGTGTGGCTCTCCAGCCACTAGCTGGCTTCAGGGTGGCTTTTGTGGGCATGTGCTTGTTTTGTGCAGGTCTGCGCAAACACGTGTGTACCTGGATGCCATGCAACTTGAAAGGCCGGCTCCTCCTTCCTGGTTACCACCCTGACCCCAGCGGGACAGTGAATAAAGGATGAATAGGAAGGAGAGAGGAAGCACAGGCTCTTCTCCTTCACCAAGTGTTTTCTACATTGACCCTTCAGGGACAGCGTCGAGGGAGGCCTGGTTAGACCAAATAATCTCGTCTGGGGTTGGTTAGCCAGGTGTTTCCCTTCTCTGTGTCCCTGGCCTTGGTATCTCTTATCATCACCCCCCAGGGGTTGAGTGGGAGCAGAGAGAAGTGAGCCCGACCAGCCTCTTTCCCATGTTGGTAAAGCTTTGCTTAAAGGCCTGTTGAAGTTTGAAATTGCAGGTCGAGGTTAATTTGAGGCTCATGTATTGTCCATGTCATGATGTCCTCCAGTCATTGCATATAAATAATCAAAAGCTAATTGTAACCAAGATATTCAGAGCTCTATACATTCCTGGACACTGTACTATGCCAAGAAATAGATACCAGTCTAAGTAGACGCACATCTTCTCATTATGTGGCGGGCTCCACACTGTGGCCCCGAGTATGACATACCAGGTTGTCTCAGAGGGTACAGGAACAAGACTAGGCTTTATAAGGAACTTACCTTCCCTTCTCCCAAGTTCTCACACTACATTAAAATTTTTATCCTTGGGTTAGAGGACTAATCATTTCAAAAAATCACTGTTGCAATGCAGATATCTCTGAGGGGATTCACCCTTGAAGTCCTTCTGTCCTCTAGAGGAATTTGTTGATCTGCATGAACTGTGCAGTCAGTCACCAGGGAAGGCCCGGAAGGCATGAGGGGAGGCGCGAAACAGGTTCAGGAGCACCTGGGAAGCAAGGAGACCAAGAGGGAGGAAGTACAAAAGGAAGCCCAGCGAGCACCAGCCCTCCTGATGAGGGCGCAGCTCCTGGGTGTGCATGTTGGAGGTGGCCTGTCCCTGTCCTGGGAGCTGACTGTGAGCATCTCTTCCCAGCTCCACCTTCAGTGACTTCATGTTGCTAGCTTGAAATTGATCATAGTGGAAGTACTTATACCACAGAAATATGCAAACACTACAAACCAGGGCTCCTCTCGCCCCCCCTTCCCCCAGGAGAGCTTTTTGTTAAACTCCTACAAGCAGACTACTGTTGGCAATCATACTGATTCTCAAACTTGCCCTGAAAGTGGGACCTTAGCAAATCACTTGTGTTCTCCTAATTGTTCTCCTCCCCCTAGTCTTGAGAGGCTGGGGCCAAAAAAAAAATCAAAGTGGCATTGGTTGTGTGTTTTAAGTCACTCAGGTAGTAGAAGTTATGAGAATTCAAAGTACGTATCACCACATTCTTTCTTCACGTGCACTTCCTGCCTCAGCTGCTGCTGTCAGTGCTAGAAAACTGAACTAAACAAACTAGCAAGCTTATTTTCAGCTTGCCTGTTTTCTTTCATACACTCTCCAAACAAGATTTAATGAATATTGTAGTCTTGCTAACAAGTAGGTTTTATTTCTTTGGAACATTTATCACACTAGTGTACATTTAGAATTCTTTGTACCCATCAGGTTCTACCTGGATCCAGTCTCTCCACTGACCTCCGTTGTCAGCTTCAGCCCTGCCGTACACTCTCACCCCACCCCTGCCCCTGGGGTTTTCTGACCCTAGCTTTTCCGTGACCACTTTCTGGCCCCTGGTTACAACAAACCTGCTATTTCTCGTTATGCCCCCAATGCTGAAGCTTGCCTTAACGTACCAATTGCTGACATTCTGCCTTTGGTATACTTAACATCTCTTTACGCATCAAGAGATTTCCATGGAAACCAAAACAAAGGGAAGGAAAGACTCTGTTCTGGAGTGTCTGTCTGGTGCTGGACATTTGTTTTCATGTTTTGTGTCTGTTCTGTAGTGAGGCATTTCCATCTCATCCCCCATACAACCCTGCACTGGGGGAAAGGTGCCCCTACCTCTTGTCAGCAAGAAGCAGGGTCTAGACCAGAGCCCTTGGCCAGTTTCCTCTTACAGGATTTTGATCATCTGGGAGCAGTTCTCTCTCAGAGGCAAGCAGCGTATTTAAGACTAAGCCAAGGAAAGGAAGAGAAGAGTTGCCAGGCTGACCTAGGGGCAGAGCTGGACCAGATAGCTTCTTGAATCTTGAAGTTCTGGGTCACCTCACTACAGATACCATGAGATCCTTCCTGAACCACCATACTGGGTAGGATCTTTTCCTTCTCTTAACCTTACCATCATTTAGTGTGGTCTCCGTGAGTTTTACTCTTTTAGCATTTGCTGCCTGATATTAGGTGTCTTGAGTGTGTGTTGTATTCCCCTACTCAGTTGCAGGCTCCTTAGGGCCAAGGGTTTTCATATAGTTCTCCATATCTCCTTTAGCGCCTAGGACTGTGCTTTCCACAGAGTATGTTCATAATCAATATTGGCCAATGATGTCAAAAAAAAATTCTTTTAATTGAAGAAGAATGAAAAGTCACTCTTATAGAATAATTAGGAAGCCCTATCTTCTCATTGGAAGGGCACAAGTAGAGGCCCGACAGCCACTTACCTGTGATGTTTTTAGGAGGAAATAATGCATTGGATAGAAAGTAGAGGTAGAAGATGGCTAAAGCCTTTTCCACCCTGAGATGCTGTGATTCCATAAAGTAAAGCTATCACCAGCACCAAGTCTCACGGTGGAACATGGATCGTGCTGGCTCATAGACAAATGACTCCAGTACCCACATGGCTTTTCTGTTTGTGTGTTGAGCAAATGGTCCACAGATTGGGTGAGTCTTTAATTAGTATACTTCTCTAGCAGCATGCATTACTCCCCCCCCCCCAAGTTGAGTGGTCGAGTATGGAAGATTGACATTATGTGCCCCACTGAGGTTCCAACCTTTTAAAAGGAGTCTTTCCCTGAAAGTGTAAGAAGCAGATGGTAATGAAAAAATATGCACATTTTATTATGCATCGCACATTTTACTTATTAGAATTTTTAACATGACATGCTACATTTTTATTTTTATTTATTTTTTTTTTTTTTATTTATTTTTTTTTGTCATCCTTGCGCAGGGGCCATGCTAATCTTCTCTGTATCGTTCCAATTTTTTAGTATATGTGCTGCCGAAGCGAGCACAGACATGCTACATTTTTAAAAGCTTAAGATGAAAACAAAATGGAATTATTTATTGAAATATTTAAATCAGCTTACAGCAATTGTATCAAAATATCAAAATAAAATCCAGCAGCCTAGAAGGTGGGTCCCCCTTGACCACCCACTTCGAAAAGCTGTCTTCCAAAGTGGGGCTCTTCCTCTCACAAAGGGAGAAGTGCATGCTCTGTAGGATGAAGGCAGGTAGGGAATGCATCCTTGACAGGTGTATAGAGGTTGAAAGTCACATGGGGGAGAAATGGTGGTGGGCATGAGGGCAGGTGACTACACTGAGCCACTCTCTTATTGAACACGGATAACCAGGAAGGGAGAAGAAATGGAGTTATGGGCTAGGTGTGGAGATAGAGCGTTTCTCTCTGTTCTTTCTCTCACCCCATCTCTGCCTCCCTTTGCGGAGTGAGTCATCTCCTCCTGGCCTTACCATTTGCAAGCACTCACCCCCACAGAAAGCATGTGAGGATTAACAAGCCATAGTGTGGGAATGTCCCTGAAACTCTGTGGAAGAGGCAGTGGAAGGTAAAAAGAGAGGTGTGAATATGATTGTGAATCTTAGGCTCAGCACCCTGAGTTCTTATCTTAAAGGCAACTTTCAAGAATAATATTAATCAACCAAAGCTTACAAGAGTTTTTTTAAAAAAAAAAATCACAAGAGTACAGAAGCTATTCTGCCAAATGTGCCTTGGCTCTGACCCAGCATCCTAGTGGCACCTCTCAGACTTGTAGGCATATGGACTGGAAGAGTTCTTAAAGCGTATCTCCCATGTAGTATGTGGATCCCCCACTCTGACGAATCGCAGCTAGGTGTAGTGGAAAGAGCAGGGGTTCTGGAATCAAACAGACCTGGGGCCAGATCTTAGCTCCTCCACCCATTGTCTCTTTGACCTAGAACAAACTAATCTCTCTAGCCTTAAATTTCCTTAGCTATAAGTTGTGAACAATGCCAACAGTGTAGGGTGGTTGTGAGAATTAGAAGGAACTTATTAAGTATCATTCCCCAGCTTCATTTTGAATAGCTCTATGATAAGAATGCTTCCACTGTTGGACAGTCCTAATGGTTAGGATTTTCTGCCACATGTTGTACCCAATCCTGGCTCCTATAACTCCTATCCATCTGCTCTGGTGCTACCTTTTGTGGCCCTACAGAGCAAGTCTAAACCTTCTCCCACAGATAACACTTCAGATATTTAAAGACAATTTTAATGTTTCCCCTGAGTCTTCTGCATGGTAAGTCCTTATAGTTCCCTGGGTCCTTCCACATTCGACTTGGTTTTAACCTTACCGGGGATACTTGTAAGCCCCTTTCCCTCATACGTGAGCATCTGTGGGAAGATGCTAGGCAGCCATAAAGGAAAGTGGAGATAGCAGGTCTGGGGTGCTGTCCGTGCTTAATAAGCCTGGGCCTTTGTCCACAGTTCATGTGAACATTCTAAGGCATACTTTCATATTCCAATGCAAATATATTTCAGTTTTTCCTGCTTTTCACCCATAGTGTTCAAGAAAATATGAAACACTACTGAGGAAGGGTACAATATAAAAACTATTGTCAAATGCTGCATTGAGAAGCACCCCTCTGTAACTGTTGTAGGTTTAATTGCATTATTGCTCCCCAGTCTATCACCTTCTCTGTGTCAGTGATGCTTTCCATGTGACTTTGAAGTTCCTGCCCTTTGACGTTGGATTCAGCGGTGTGACTTGCTTTGGCCACAGAGGGAGGCAGAAGGGGCAGCAAGCCAGTTCCAAGCCTAGGCTTAAGGGACCTTGGATATTTCTAGTTACCCGTCAGTGTCCTGCCATCATCATGAGAAGAGCCTACCGCCATTAGCCTACTGGTCCAAGGAAGCTGGGAGGCATGTGGGGCAGCACCCCAGCAAATCCCAGCCTATCTCTGCTGACCCCCCCCTGCCTCACAGAAACTTGAACACAAATAAATGATTATTGTTTTAAGTCACTGAGTTTTGGGGTGATTTGTTATTCATAATTTTTGTGGCAAGAGATAATTGTTATAGAAATCATGTGGGCCAGAAAACATAAAGCAATACTAACCCTAACTCGACAGAGGATATGTTTTAAAGAAATAATGAAAGGTTTATAAAACTATAACCAGACTAGACAAATACATCATAAATGTGACTTGCCAACCTGTAACTGAGTTTCTTTTGCAAACTGTGGCTAAGAAGAAAGTAAATGTGTATATTATATACCATCAAGGAAATAGCTAATGACAAACCCGAACTCAATTTCCAAAGAGACATGAAAAGTTGAGAGGGTTCCTATTTGATACAGTTCACTCATTGACTTGACTGTTTAACAATTACCTACCATGTGTCAGCACCATTCTAGGCTCTGGAAATATGGTTGTGGAAAAAAAACAGACAAGGTTCAGGTCTCATGAAGCTTCTATTGGAGATTCAGAAAATAAAAAATTAAACTGGGTAACTTCAGATCGTGATAAGTGCTATGAAGAAACTCAGGCAGGGCAATGACTACCTTAGGGAGTTTAGGGAAGACCTCTCAGAGGATGTGGCATTGGAACTGAGACCTAAATGACATGAATGAGCCAAGGGAAGAAAGACCATATTGAAGTGAATAGCAGATGCAAAGGCCATGAAGTATGAAGATGCTTGGAGGGTTTGAGTTATAAATAGGTGTGGAGAGGAGTAACACAGTATGAAACAAAGTGGGCAATAGTAAAAGAAGTCAGGACATGTGGAGCTCTGTTGACCACTGCGAGGAGTTTATTTTATTCCAAGCATGGTGGAAGCCATTGAAGTGTGTTGGGCTGCTGTGTGGAGAATGGACTGTGGGTGCACAAGAGCGGAAGCAGGGAGGTCAGCTGGGTTATTGCATCATGGGGGCTGCCACTAGGGTGATGGAAAGGATGGAGAGAAATGAACAGATTTGAGAAATGTTTTCAAGTAGAAACAAGATTTCCTGATGGATTCAATGTGAGAGAATGTGAGAAATGAAGGATAACTGCTAGGTTTTTAGTTTGGGTAACTGAGAAGTTGATGGTGCCATTTCTGGAAGTGAGGAAGAATGGAGGAGGATTGAACTGGGGGGTGGGAGGGGTCGGGGTTTTGTTTGAATCACTTAAGTTCGAGCTTAGACATCTAAGTGGATTTGCCAAGTAGGCCACTGGACAAACTAATTTAGTGGTCAAGGCTGAAGAAACAAGCTGAGTGGTCACCAGCTTGTAGATGACATTTTAGTTAAAGGACTAGATCAGTTCACCTGGGAAAAAAAGTTAATTTTTTTTTAATTTAAAATTTAAGAAATTTTAAATTTTAAAAATTGTTTAAAAAAAAAAAAAAGAAGTGGGAGGACTAAGTACAGAGCAGGCTGACATTTAAGAGCTCAGCAGAGGAAGAGGAGACAGAAGAGCCTGAGAGAGAAGCTGACAGAGTGTGATGTTATAGAAGCCAAAAGAAGAAAGTGTTCCAGGAAGGCGAGAGTCAACTTTGGTTGTGTGAGGTTGAATGCAACTGAGTCACAGAGTAAGATGAGGACAGAGAAGTAGCTAATGGACTTGGCAACGTGGGGCTGATTGGTAACCTTGAAAATAGAAGATTTAGTGGAATGACGGAGACAGAAGTCAGATGGAATGGCTTAAAAGAGAATGGGAGGTGAGAGAGTGTTGCCAGTGAGGTTTTGCTGAAAAGGGGAACAGAGAAGTTAGGTAGCAGGAGAGGATGAGAGTTCTGTTTGGAATTGGAGGTGCAGAGGCACATTTAAATGCCAATGCAAATAAACCCAGAGAGAGAGAGAGAAAAGTTGTTACTGCACGAGAGGAAATGAACAAATTGCAGGATCGAGGTCCTTCAGAAAGGAGGAGACCCAGAGCACAGTGAGGGGTCACCCTTGCCAGGCCTTCTGTGGTAGCAGGAGGACAGGCTGGAAGGGCCATAGAGTGAACTGGTGGGTCTGGTGATGGCAGAGTGTGTGGTCCTGTCAGCGTACATATATTTCCTCAGTGAACTATGACTTTAAGTCATCATTTGAGGAGCCAGGACTTGTGAATCGTGAAGCCAAATGCACTGTGTCTTTCATTTACCATTGGGTACACTTAGAACAATGAAAATGATAAGCCCTTTTGTGTAATGTATTGTGTAAAGAGCAACACAGATGACAAAACAATTCATGGATATTCTCTCATTCGAAGGCGAGAGTCAACTTTGGTTGTGTGAGGTTGAATGCAGCTGAGTCACAGAGTAAGATGAGGACAGAGAAGTAGCTAATGGACTCGGCAGTGTGGGGCTGATTTGGCAACCTTGAAAACAAAAGATTTAGTGGAATGATGGAGATAGAAGTCAAATGGAGTGGTTGAAAGGGGAATGGGAGGTGAGAGAGTGTTGCCAGTGAGGTTCGATACCCACTGAATCATTCAAGTTCCCTGCTGGGAATATAATTCCGTTTGTATAAATGAAGACACGTTAATGCAAGGACCAGTTACAGAGATGAGAGTGGAATTAAGGGATGTTGCACCCCAAGAGTGTCAAACAGTCAGAAGTCACTCCACACGAAAGGCCAGTGGGTCAAAGGAGATTAATAGTGTTAGATCCCAGTCCAGTGTGATCATTCATCGAAGAGACGTATAGCTGCTGTCAGGGAACTGGTGTCAAAGCAAAGAGGAATGACAAAGAAATATGGTGACTGCTCTCTCCTCCTATGTCTTACTGGCGTTTCCCAATGGCTGAACCCAGTTGGGACAGGGTTGGGACAGCCCCTCTGGCAGGGGGGCTGGGCGATGGAGTTCGCTGTGAAAGACAGACAGTAGACCTCACAGGGAATAACCAGCACAGCCCTGATGCTTCACGCCATAAATGTTGAAAAGATTTTGAAAACCACTCCAATAGGAATATTTATACCGTATGCTGATATATAAAAATGTATCTTATTTGGTACCAGCTGGGGTTTTGGAAAACCTAGCTCACCATGCTGTGTCACTAAATCATGGATACTTGTAAACCATCAGCAATATTCAAATATAATGTTTGCCCGTGGTCTTTCCCCTTTATCTCCAGGCAGAGGCATGTTAACCATAAGACCAGGGAAGTGTGCATTTCAGGGCCCCTCACTTGCACGAGCCCTTTCCATGGGAGGGCCCTAGAAATGTATTCCTATGGTCATATTTTTTTAACTTTGTAGAAGATATTAAAACTGTAATAGATTTCACTCTGACCCTAGAGAGGTCTCTCCACACCCCCCACCAATTATATAAACTTTACACCCCACAAAACCTGGATCGGCCTCAGCTTTCAGCGAGACTCAAGTGTACTGATACAGATTTTATCCCTTTCCCAAGATTCTCCCACCTTTGGGGCAGGGTGGTTAACGAGCATCAAATGGACATTTGGCAAGCGGGGAAAATGCAGCAGGAGGATAAAGAAAAACAAAGAAGGGATGTGTGGTGCTAGGGACAGTGGAAGAAAAGTACTGTGCCTGAAGAACTGCACCTGGCCACCCACCACTGAATAACGTAGGGTTGTCAAGTGTCCTACCAGGTGACTAATATCTCTGGGCCCTAACTCAAATGCTGCTCTTAATATTTTCAGATGCAGATGGAAACCTGTGTCGAAGTAACCAACTGTTGCAAGTCATGCTGACCATGCACCGAATCATCATCTCCTCTGCAGAACTGCTCCAAAAAGTTGTCATCCTATATCCTTTAGCATAGTGACGGGCAAGCCCCAAATGGGATGGATTCAAGAAGTAGCTTGAAATTTGAAGTAAAAAATTTATTTTAATTGGTTTGGAATAACCCGAGTGGTAAATGGGTTCATATGTCCTTTTAGGGGTATGCAGGTAGAGGGTGTGTGTGTGTGTGTGTGTGTGTGTGTGTGTGTGTGTGTGTATATTCATGTACATTCTGTTGGATGGGACAATATTACTGATGCTGATTGCTCTGGGGGGCGGTGGTCAGAGAAATCAATATGCAAACACAGTCTCCTTCAATATCTCTTGATGGTAAAAAAAAACACTTTCCTCTATAGAGTAGTCAGAATTCATATTTGTTCTGTACAGATTGACTAAGGTACAAGCATGACTCAAAGGATAAATTTCTTTCTAGCTCTTCTAATTCTTCAACCTTGCCGAGGTTTTGAAGAAAGCTTCCTGATGCCACAGCGCCTGGAGAATCTGTTGATGCCTTATTGTTTCAGACAGAGGCATTGACAACGTGCCAGGCAAACCCTGCTAAATTTTAGCCTTTTTAAGGGCTGTGAATGGAGTAGAGTGGAGAAAGTGCTTGCTTGCTTTTTCTTGTTGATGACACCGTAAGCTGCAGCTCCCCAGCAAAAAGGGCTGTAGGTGGGGTGAGACCGTTTAGCACCTGAGGTGCAGGTCCCTGGTACTGAGTCATGGCTGGTGTCTGCTCTAATCCCTTTACCACTCTCTTCACTACCGCCCCCTCATTTTTGTCTTATGGCACACAGAAAAAATAAAAGCCATCAGGACTGAATCCCTTCTCCAAACCTACTCATGAATCTCTACCTCTCATCTTAAAGGAGGTGTTTCCAGTGGCACAGTAAGGGTGGAGCGTTGGGAGAGGTCCATGTAATAAGAGGTGCAGGTAATAAGTGGGTGCCTCATCCACAGAGAATTCTAGAACCATAATAAAACCAACTCAAGGTCTGTCTGCTTTTTATTAACTCCATGTACCAGCGATTCTAAACCATGTCAGTGATTAAATACTCTCTCTAAAAAATTGCTTTTGGCCTAAGGACTAAATTGCACCTGAGGTGCCTGCCCTTGGTGCACTACTGGGTGCCTGGGCACACACAGTGGGACAGGCCCCGCTCTACCCTGCCCGTCCTCCCTCCCACTTCTCGCAGAATCTTACTCCACCAGTCATCTCCTCTCTCCTCTCACACTCCGTCTCTTCAGTGGCACCTGCTCATCTGCCTAAAACACACTAGGTCTGCCCATCTAAAAATAGACTCTTAACCCTGCTTTCTCCTTTATTCCATTGTTAGGGTTAGAAATTCTACGTGAAACGTCTTAAAATAGTCTGCACTCACTATCTCAAGTCTCTACTCCTACTCGCACTCTTCATTGACTGCGACTCCTGCCACAGTACTTGAACTTTCTTTCCTCTGATGTCAGCAGTGATCTCCTCATTGTGAAGCCTAATTTTGTTTTTTTGTTTTTTTTTCCATCCTTGTTTACACTGACCTCCAGGAAGCACTGGGTGTTACTGGCAGCCCCCTGCCTCTCCCAGCTGCCCCTCCAGGACTCCCGGAACTGCATCCTCCTGGTTCTCCTACCTCTTGGGCTGTCCTTTCCCCAGCTTTTCATCTGGCCTCTTCTTTGAGCTCCAGTTAAGTATGGTGGTAACATCCTGGTCCTGGTTTTCTTCTCACTCACCTTCCTTTCTGTGGGTGATTTCTCACCAGGATTTCCACCACCATTCTTCTGTGCTGATGATGACTTTTAAGTCTATATTCCTCTAAACCCTTTTTTTGTTCATCTATGATTGTAAATTAATGGCAGAAAATAAACCCTTTTTTAATGTTTGGACTAGCTTGTGCTGCTGACACTTCAGTCTTAATATGTTCAAGTACTTTAATATGTTCATTAGCTCACTATCCCTATCCCCAGCTACTACCTCGTTAATTCTGCCTTGACACCTGTATAGTCATGCGTCACTTAGTAGCCAGGATACATTCTGAGAAATCAGTCATTAGGTAATTTCCCCACTGTGGGACCATCATATAGAGTGTACTTACACAAACCTAGATGGTACAGCCTGCTACGCACCTGGACTATATGGTCTAGCCTGTTGCTCCTAGGTTACAAGTCTGTACACTGTGTTACTGTTCTGGATACCGTAGGCAATTGTTGTAACACAATGGTGTAAGTATTTGTGTATCTACACACATCTAAACATAGGAAAGATATAGTAAAAATACAGTGTAAAAGGTAAAAAGTGGCACACCTGTATAGGACACTTAGCATGAATGGAACTTGCAGGACTGGAAGTTGCTCTGGGTGAGTCAGTGAGTGAGTGGTGAATGAATGTGAAGGCCTAAGACATTATTGTACACTACTGCAGACTTTATAAACATCGTATACTTAGGCTAGACTAAACTTATAAAAATTTTTTCTTTAGTAGTAAATTACCTTACTGTAACATTTTTACTTTATAAACTTTCTAATTTTTAAAACTTTTTGACTCTTTTATACTATTCAGCTTAAAACACAAACACATTGTACAGCTGTGCAAAAATATTTCATTCTCTATATCCTTATTCTACAGGCTTTTTTCCTGTTTTTAAATTTTTTATTTACATTTTTTACTTTTTGAACTTTTAAAAACTAATATACAAGTATACACGTTAGCCTAGGCCTACATAGGGTCAGGATCATCAGGATGTCACTAAACAATAGGAATTTTTTAGTTCCATTATAAATATGGGACCGCCACCGTACATGTGGTCCAGTGTTGATCAAAAGGTGCATGACTTTATTTTCATGTTCAATTCCAGTTAATGTTGTCATTATCTGTCTATCCAGTTACCTAAACCAGAAACATCAGAAGCTCTCTTGACTCCTCCCTGCCTTTCACCTCCTACAGAGTCTGGCACCCAATCCTAGGGTCACTGCTTCAGAAATGACTCTTTTCTGGTTTCTTCTCTCCATTCCCATGCCACTGCCTGAGTTCAGGGCCCCATTGTCTGTCTTCTAGACCACTGTTCCAGGCCCCCTCCCTAATTCATTATCTACCCCTGAAGTTCTTCCCTACAAAGAAAATAGGTTAGGCCATTGCTTCAGAGACTCTGCAAACTAGGGGGCTAATGCCAAATTCCTTAGCTTGCCAGGAAAAGGGCCTCCATAGTGACTCCTTCCTGCTTCATCCTGTAGCTCTCTCAGAAACCCCTTCCCCTCCACACCGACCTTCTCAACACACCAGACGTAATAGGGCCTTTTAAACTTCCTGTGCCTGGAAAGCCCTTTCCCCCCTCTTTGCCTAGCAAACTCTCCTTCAGGACCCCTCAGCGAAGCCTTTCTTGACTTTTCTAGCCCTCCTCCACTTTTAAAAATACTTATAGTGTTTTAAAATAGTATTTTTGATTGAAAAATCTATTTAATTCCTATGACTTTAGTCTTGGATTGCTTAATTCAAAGTGTGTCTCCCATATCTTTGGCCCAGATGCAATCTGCCTTGAAAATCTTTTCATCTATGATTATAGAAAGTACGAAGTGTGTTTGTTCTGTTAGTTCAATAAATGTATCTACGTGAACTTCAGTCCGTAAGTTTTATGGTGGAATACCTATGTACTCTGGTCTCTGTAGAAGACCCTTTCAAGTAAACTACAGAACCTTCGTATCTAGCGGCTATGGTTTGAATTGTGTTAGTGATATAAAAGGTTGCAAGGGTACTGAAAAATTAATTACAAATTACTTAAAAATTTTTAAAAAATATATTTTAAAAGTACATACACTGTCTTGTAACTTACCTATTTGTGTATCATCTCCCCCACTAGGCTCTGTGTCCCTTAAGGGCAGAGACTGAGGCTTATTTATCTTTGTATCTAGAACTTAGGTTAGTGGCCATCTTATGGTAGGACACAATCAGTGTTGCATAGTAATGGGTGTTAAACATTAGGATAATTTTTTTTATATCTACCAGAACTTTTAGGTGTGATATCTGGGTTTGGCTCAGGTTAAGGAGTAACCTGGGGTTGGGGAAGGCAGTCTAAGAAGGGAGTACGAAATAAGACTCCTGTAACGGGAAGCCAAGTTAAACATTGATCGCAAAATGTTTTTCTCCCTTTCATGCTTAGTTTCCCTGTTCTCTGACCTGGAAGTAATAGAATTTTTAGTTAATAAGTTCAGATGGTTTCCTGTTTTTCCATTGTTAAAAGAGACAAATTTAAAAACATTCTCTGAATAGTTCAGACGCCTGAAAAGCACAGTCAGACCTGTACTGGTACTTCATAGCCACAGGACTAGCTATGAAAAGAAGAAAAAGGTGTGGAGCCTGAAGGTTCCAGCAAACATTTATGTTGACCCCAGATCAGCAGACGCCCGAACCTCTTACTACTCAGCCTGCACCTGCTGGGGGTTTGTCTCATTTCCTGGATAAAGGGAGAAAGAGGGTGCCCTGCCTGCCTTTGGGAGGCTGCCTTTGCCATGGCATAGGGACTCGAATGACCTCAGGAGGCTCTGCCCTTCTGGATGGCTCCAGGCTCAGCACTCATGTGGAGACCGGCTGGACTGACGTCGATGCTGCTGCAGCACATGCAGCCAACGTGCACAGAACAGACATTTGAAGGGATGGAGAAGGAGCCACTGGGAGGAAGTGGAGGCCACAGTAAAACTTATGTTGATTTAATCTATCTAGTGCTTTAAAAGAGAAGTGTGCTTTTTTTTTTGTGCCTTCTTTAAAAAGGAAGAGGAATAAAAATTTCAACAAGTAGAACAAATAAAAGTATAGACTCAATGTGCCCTGTGCTTGAATCTCTTTGCATTGAAGTGATGCATTTTCTTAGTGATGTGGCATAAAGAAAATGTAAAGTCATCTCATTCTTATGTCTGCCTTTTCCATCTGAACAGATGCAGGCATCAGAACTGTTAACTTCATGAGTTTGCCATTTGCCTCGGCTTATTTTTATTTCGATTACCTTTGTTGATGTGCGGGGTTTAGTGTTTTTCGGTTTTTGTTTTTGTTTTGTTTTTGTGCTGTGATCTCAAGGACAGATTTTATAGGCAGTAAATCTATTAAAATTTCATTTTTAAAATTATAAGTTATTTTATTAAAATTACAAATTTCAAAACCAGTTAGTTCTTTTTTTCTTAATTTTTTTATTTTTAATTATCATGAATACATAATGTATATCTTTATAGGGTACATGTGATGTTTTGATATAGGCATACAATGTGAATTAATCAAATCAGGGTAATTGGGGCATCCACCCCCTTGATGACCGTAGTTCTTATTTAGGGTTTCAAGTTTAGCTTGCAAATCTTATTATTCTTTCTGTAAGTGTAGAATGTTTTAGCAAGCATTTTTAAGCAGCCTTGAAAAATGCTTGGTTAATTTGAATAATATTAATTATTTCCAATGGTTTTAAACTATAATTATGCATTTTATATTTTCGATTATTTTTAAACGCTCCAGATGCCTTCCTGAATTTTAAATAGTTTTTTATAACTCTAATAGGTTAAAGTTATAAACAGTAAAGCTAACATTATCTCAGATGTTCCAAAGCTATGCCTAAACTTAATAAGGTTTCAATTTAAAGCCACAAGTCTAAAGCACTTAATTATATATTTCAAATGGAAGTTTCAAGAATATTCTAATAGGCTTTTAAACATTACAGACATATAAAATTTCAAAATGTATAGATTCCTTCCTAATAAAAAAAGTCAGTGCTATGATTTTGACTCCCTTCTACTTTTCTATATTTAACTCCAAATTTTCTAAGGGTTAAAGTACACATACCCACTGAAGGAAGACTATTCTTGCCCCGGTTGATTGAGATTTCTACTGGTTGGCTCACTGGATTCCTCTCATGGGCCCAGTTGGAATTCACTGGACTCCACATTGCAGTTATTCTGGCACAGTTTTCAGAAGGGAAAGAGGACATGCCCTTGCAGGGCACACAGCCTTTATGGCCCGACCCCTCAGTCTATTGACAGAAGATGGCAGGACCCTGCCCCCCCTCCACTTCCACCGCTTAATCACTGGATTGGATTTCATTTCTTTGACTCTTAAATGAATATTCTTTCCATATATCTCTAAAGACACGTGAACGTGATGAGATCTTGCTAGTCTTTCACATTCTTGGTATATTTAGAATAGGCGTCCTCAAACTACGGCCCGTGGGCTACATATGGGTGTTTTTGCCCTTTTTTTTTTACTTCAAAATAAGATATGTGCAATGTGCATAGGAATTTGTTCATAGTTTTCTTAAAACTATAGTCCAGCCCTCCAGTGGTCTGAGGGACAGTGAACTGGCCCCCTTTTTAAAAAGTTTGAGGACCCCTGATTTAGAATAATGATCCTTTTCAAGGTATATTTTGGAATAGTCACATGGTTTTGTCTAACTTGCCATCTCAATTTACAAAGTCAATCTACTGACATCCTCTATGTGTATGTGTTATAATTTCACGTTCTTAATTTTTATGACAATATATCTGAATATATACTACTTCCTCTCCTAATTCACTGCACACACTGTTTATCGGTTACTGGAAACATTTTCAAAGATAAAAGGGACTGCTCTTTTTAATTTGTTTCAGTTGGACTCCTAGTCTCCTGGGCATAGACAAAGGGTCATTTGCCCTTTCTTCACTTCTTATAAGTCACCTGTGCAGGGACATTTTCCCACTATTATAATAACTTCCTAGTTCTACTTCTGCAAAGGAGATGCTGCAGCCCTCTTCCATAAGCCATTTTAGCATAGGCTAGAGAGACAATTACCATCATCACCCTTGTAGGTGATAAATATGCATACAGCTGTACAAATCAAGTTACTTTTTATCCAATGGCCAGAAAGATAAGGCATCACATTTTCATTTTTCAGAAAAATTATGTTGGAAGATATTTTTAGCAAATACTTACAAAGAGGAAAAGTTTGGTTTCTGTAACAGAGATTTCCATTTCCCTTAACCACAGTCCTACTTATAAGGATGCCTTGGCAAAGAATTCCCCAGGGCTTTGCCTGAAGATCTGCTATTTCATAAGGTAATATTTCTTCATGTACTTGAAGACTTCCTGGAGCAGGATAAAATGAAAGGCTGAAGCATGGGGCTCTAGTTCTTTCCTGGTCCTCCCTACCTCTCCCTTCCTAACCATTTATAGAACACTTTGGACAGACCAAAAAAGGCATTCCTTAACAGTGGAAATTCCTCAACAGAACACAGTGAATTTTATCTGGTGTACTTGAGCTAATATTTTATACCAATGTTATTTTCCGTCTAAATAGCATTTTGTTATCAAATTATATAAGGGGAGGGATACAGAGATAAAAGATCTTTGTTATTTTATTTTTATTCCTGATTATTAAAAATAATAAATCTCATTGTATAACATTTTAAAAATTCAGAAAAGAATATAGCTACAATAGTCAGTCATATCCAACTACCTATATTGGCATACTTCTTCTTTTGTCTTTTTTCCATGCTGATTTTTTTAACGTAGTGTGATCAAAACATACATACGGTTTTATATCCTACAGCTTTCATTTAACATTATATAAGAATCTTCTCCAGTCATTGACTTTCTATAAGCCTTACTTTTATAGCCATATAATATTCTAATGTGAAAAAGCATTACTTAGGAATACACTGCCCATTTTTGAACATTTGGTTTGTCTGTAGTTCTCTCCTTTATGATTACCTCTGATTCACATGATTGTGCCTAAATTTTTGCCATGGCTCTTTTGATTATAATAGAATATGCCTTATCCTACCAAAGCATTTTGTGTGCATGGAGGGACAGAAGATTGTCAGTGGGTGGCTTTCTTCCCTCCCTGCCCTCATCCCAGCTCCTTCAGTGCAGAAGGACAAATCAGCCTCTGTCTTTTTCTGGGTTCTCTTTGTGGCAGCAGATTCCTTTGGGAACCCACCTTATTGTGAGTCCTTGGCGTCAGTTTTAGATTGTGTTTCTTAACCCCCTCCTTGTAGGTATTGGATAACAGAATTCTGGGTCATGTTTAAAATGGATGCCAGCCTGACAGACACTATGGAGGAGTTTCAGGAACTGGTGAAAGCTAAGGGTGAGGAGTTACACTGCCGCCTGATTGACACAACTCAAATGTGAGTGTCAGGGTTTTGACGAATCTTTCAAAACCACCTCCCTCCTGTAACGCGATCCAGGCTGCTTGCTAGGCTTCGGAATCTCAGCCATGACTGCTGTTTCCTTTCAGCACTTTGAGAAGCCCCTCAGACAGGCAGGTCCAACCACCTCACCAAAGTGAAAGCTTGACATTTCACAGACAAGCAGAGAAGCCCCCCTGGAGATAAAGCAGAAGGTGACTAATACCCAAGAGCAGAAAAAAATAAGTCCCAGTCAAAAAGAAATCAGGTAGCCAAGATACTGACTAAAATGTGCCCAGAACATGAGAAACTGAAAATGTAATGACTGAACTCGTGCTGCTTCCGCAGCGAGTGCCAGGAGGCCCCCTGAGCTTGTAAAGGGGGGAGGGGCTCCTAAAAAATGCATTGAGCAGAGGGTCTGTGACATATATGGATGTCTGTGAAAGATACTTAGGCTTTCAGAGCTGGAAGAGATCCCAGGAATATTTCAAATCATTCCTTGGATTTCTTAGTTATAAGGCTGGCTCACTCTGGAAAAATGAGTGTCTTTCCTAATTTGGGGGAGAGGAGTCGCACACATTCACTGCTAAGGTTTTCACAATGTGGCCTCTTTATTTTGGAATAGTAAAAATCCCTACGACAGAGGATTCTAGAGCTGAAACATTCTAGAGATCATCTCATCCAACATCCTGATTTTTTTCTGACTGGGACATGGAGGCTCAGCAAGATTGTGACTCGTGTGGGGTCACAGAGATAGTGAAGTTAGTGACAGAGCAGAAACTGGACTCCGAAGCCTTGTTCATAACGCCCTATGCCGTGGTCATGCAGGAATGATTTCAAGATCACATTCCATAGCCTCAAGTTAATCTTTTTATCAGTTTGGATTCTCTGTACTTCTTTGCTTAGAATTATAGAACTTCAGAGATAAGAGATTTTTCAACATAACAGTTTCTGCATTTTAAAGATGAGGAACCTAGAGCCCAGGGTCAAACCCAGGTCTCCTTGTCTCAACATATCGCAGCTGAATTTCCTCTATCGAAATTTTCCACAGTATATTGTGTAGGAATTATTAGTCTTTGAGATACTACTTGATCAGATATATTTGAGGAATAATGAGTTAAACTTTCCTTTTGTAATGTTTTTCAGAGTCAGTAATATGCTCATTGGCCAAGGAGGCTGCAGAATTTGTAGCATTTCCCAAATTTATTTGACCACAGGACCCTTTTATTAAGAGACAAGTTTCCCAGGAATACCACTTTGGAAAACATAGATTGGCATCTTGTTGCCTTTCAAAACTGGGCTGCTTCCTTACTGTAGGAAATTGAAACTGAGTAAGAAACACGGGTTGACCGTAAGAAACTGTGGAGGCAGGGAGACACTCTAGTGCCAGCTATGCTTCCTTGGTCATTTCAGTGGTTAGGAACATTTGAGGAAAATGCCACAATTCTGCCAGGAGTTGACCACATGTTCCTACGCGTGATTCCCTGCAACGTGACATCTTCTTTCTGGGGCCGAGTTATTCTGGCATGGAAACTGCCCCACTACCTGGGAACCAGATAGAGTCCCTGTCACCCTCATGAGAATGAAGGACCATACAGGAGGAATGGAGAGGGTAGATATACCAGAGACTGCATAAGGAGCCAGGACCAAAGGCGAGAAAACTGTGACCTATGCCTGAGACTCTGTCCTTCCCACTTAAAGTAAACTCATCTACTCTTTTCCCCACTGCACATCTAAAAGGCTCATTGACAACCAGCAAGACTTCTTGGTTGCTGCCATAGAAAATACTGATTTGGGGAAACTATGATAATGCATTGTTTTATCCAAGGCATGTTAGCTAATGGTGTTTTGTATGTTCTTGTGGGAAACGTTAATGAATTTTACTTGCAAAAAGCAATTTCAATTTATTCTTTTTCCCTCTCTTCTTCCTTTCATGTTCACCCACAAAAGCAATGCCCGTGACTGGTCCAGGAAACTTACTCAAAGGATAAAATCAAATACCAGCAAGAAACGGAAAGTCTCTCTGCTCTTTGACCACCTGGAACCAGAAGAGCTATCGGAGCACCTCACCTACCTTGAATTCAAGTCCTTTCGAAGAATATCTGTATGTACCCAGAGGGCAGGAGAAAAACTTCTCTGAGATATTTCTAAAAATAAGTAGAGAAATTCCACAGTCCATCCCAGGGTTGGTAGGCTTTCCCATCAGGCATCAAATAGTCTGGGAAATCGGCACCATCTGAATTCCTTTGGTTGTGCCTGCCGTGCTGCTCTCATCTCCCTCCCTCCATGCCCACCCCATCACCCACTCAAGTTATAACACTGTGGGCACACATGACACTCTGCACACATGCATATGAGTGTACACACAGTACACACAAACACACCCACACACACCCCTCTTACCTCTGATAACCATTAGGCTTCTAAAAATTTTTCTTAACCTTTTTCAAAAAAAAAAAAAAAATGATGTGTCTTCACAGAGTTTGAATTCATTCTAGGATAGGTTTGGAATGGCTCTGGGAAATCCCAAAATAAAGTCTAGACCAGAACACCTAAAACCTTGCAATCACCATAATTCCAGAGATAAATTATGCTGACCCAAACCTTGCTCCTGGGGTAACTAAGCAGAGTCAAAGGTATGGTAGGGGAGAGACATGAAGGGAAAGAGATTTCCATTTGTCATCAAGAAAAGAAAGAGCACACAAGTACATCCCGTCCTCACTGCAGTCCTTGAAACTCCATATGTGATACCAAAGAACATTGGTTCCATACAAGGGAATCTGTCAACATGGCAGATGCCAACAGACCCTCACTGGCCAATGTACTTTCCTGAGAAGTGAGACCCTTACTCCATTTAGCCCCTGCCCCTACCAACAGATGCAGTCTTTAACTCTGCCCTAAAAATAGACTTCCTAGTTGCCGGAAACATTTCTTAGAATGACCTATGTTCCCCAGGTAAGCGAATGGAGGCCCAGAGGGTTGGCTTGAACAAGGTCAACACAACTTATTAGAGTCAGAGCTAGGGTGAGAACTGCATGCCTCTCTGGATCACTCAGCACCAAGTTATTAAACTTGGTTGTATCTAGAAGGAGACTTGCAAACCGGCTTACAGAGGTTATTTCATATTTTCTTCTATGATGTTGATATCCCTCCTGTTTTCACCCAGCTGTGTGGCCAGTCAGCCAGGAACCTCCCAGTTTCCATTTGGAAATAAGTCTCTAAGCATTAACCCCCCCAAATCCCCTTATTTACACCTCTGAAACAGAATCCCAGGCCCAAATTTGGAGGCTCCACCCTGGGAAGTTTCCATCTGGCAGTGCGTCCCCTATCACAGGGCAGGACACCAGTCAGAGCTCAGAGCCACTGAAAAAAGCCCATTATCACACTAGAATCTGAGCTCTGCTGGGGCCAAATTGGCAGGGCTGCTCCGTCAGGCCTGTGAGATGTCTGCTTCATGCCAGTGCTCACATCAGTGGAGGCAGAAGTGAAAAACCCATGCAAAAGAATCAGCATCTCCCCCACACCCCTAGGGGTGGGTAGGGCGGGTGTGGATCAGTGTTCTATTTGCAAGTGGAAACATCAGTTTGAACTTTCATTTCTTTTGCGTGGCATGGTCCCTTCATAGACAGGACTGGTGGATTGTTTTGTTTCATTTTTTCTACACAGTTCTAAACAGTTTTCCCAAACAAAAATTTTCTCTCCAACATGAGGTTGGAGAGAAATTCATCTTTGCTGTGAATTAAAAGGCATTTGATATTTTGTGTTTATTACAACACTTGGGGGGTGATGAGGAGATTACTGGGATAATTCTTTTAAAAAGTGGATTCAATGTCAAATTTATAGTGGGGGGTGATATATAATGTATTTATTGGAATGAGTTGTGGCCACTTTCTCTTAGAAAAGGTAAGATTTGTGCTTTATATATCTCTTAAGGAGTAATTTTGGTCTTACTCATAGTTTTCTACCCATCAGTAGTAAAGTGGGGCTCACTTAATTTGCAGCTGTTGGAGTAGGAGGGAGTAAAGAAAAAAAAATCGCAGCCATTTAATTTAGGTTATGAGTTCTTCCCATGAGTGTATTTACTGTTTAAGCAGGACTAAAGTGTACTGCATAACAACCTCATCCCCTCACTCCTGCACAGGTTCAGTGGCTTACAGCAAAATTTTTTCACTCATACTACCTGTCTAGCATGGATCAGCAGGGGCTGATCAGAGTTGCTCAGGGACCAGGGTGAGGAAGCCTCATCTTGACAGAAATTTCCATGAGTCTGCAGCAGTGGGAAGGCAATGTGGCAGATCATTCACTGGCTTTTAAATCTTTCCCTTCAAAGTCACATCACTTCCACTCACATTCTACTGGCTGATCTCTCTTGTGGCCACACCTGCTTTCAAAGGGAAAAGTTCAGAAGGGGAGACCCGGAAATAATAGGGCAGCAGCAACAAAGACTCTCAGAGGAGTGCGGGAGAAGAGCAGACTGTTCCTCCCTCCTGGTTATACTGTTTGAACAAGAGACTCTTAATGACAGGGACGTGATAGCTACAATCTCCACTTAGACCACATCTTTTAGGACATTTCCAGTTTCAAATCTGCTGCTTCATTGCCAAGCATAGTGAATGCCATCATCAGGTTGGGAAACTATGGTCACTGATTATATAGCTAAGCAAGTTTCATGTACCTCATTCAGTTGGCCTCTGTTCAAGTTGGCAAGTAGAAGGAAATCCAAACAGACTTGTTTTCACATAAGATTAATAATTATCCCATTAGTACCACAATTATCCCATTAGTACCACCTTACACTTATGTAGCACTTTGAAAAGTTAAGGCTTTCACACATTATCTTGTTTCATCTTCATAATAATTCCATGCCCTAGATAGGGCAGATTTTTATCATCACATTTTTAAGGTAAGAAAACAGGGAGAGAGAGATTTGTTTTTGTTAGGATAATTATCTTTTATTCCCTTAACTTCAGCAGCAGAGCTGGAACTAGTACTGAGATTTTTCTTCTATACTATATTTTTTAGAATTTAGATGGACAGTATCTGCTAAAATACAATATTTGGATTAACTAGTATGTGTACACATCCACTGTGCCTAATGACTTTTGATGGAGAGAGAGCATGCTGTGGGTGGAATAAGAAAGATGTCCCTCCCGTCATTCTTGTTGGTCAAGTGGCAAAAATGCAGGAGAGGAGGGCCAGGACTCTGTCTCATGGCTGTTCCTAGCCATCTGCTGAGCAGAGTTAACTTGTCCCTCAGTTCTCCCAGAATACAGTCCTGATGTTTATTTTCTTTCCCTGCAGTTCTCTGATTATCAGAATTACCTTGTAAATAGCTGTGTGAAAGAGAACCCCACCATGGAGCGGTCGATTGCCCTGTGCAACGGCATCTCCCAGTGGGTCCAGCTGATGGTTCTCAGCCGCCCCACCCCACAGCTCCGAGCAGAAGTCTTCATCAAGTTCATCCACGTGGCTCAGGTTAGTGACCCAATTAAGACTTTTGGCCTGGGCTGTGAAGTAAATTTTCTGTCCCCTTTTCCCCAAGCTTAGTCTATCAATTAGGGCTGTTTTTCCCTTGTGAATCATGATGGGGGGGTTTATGTGCCTTCAACTGTCCCCAGTTCTAGATATGGTGACTTTTCTCCCATACAAGGTCAATGTGGAGAAGGCCTGTGAGACCCTCAGGGGTTGGGATACAGTTTTAGATCTGTTTAGATTTTTAACATTTTTCAGAGGATTATTACCATCCTATATTATTCTCCCAAATCTGGCCCACATGGCAAAGGAAAGGGCAATTCTCAGATTTACTAGAGCTGGACCGGCCAGGGTTGTCTTAGGTCTTTGAGCCCATGCTGTGTTGAATAATTGCATTTAATGTTTCAGGGGCAGAGTTTAAGCATTTGGTAAGACAAAAACAAGTACTATGAACCCATATTTGAAGTTCCCCACAGATTCTAGCTTCTCTGTCCCAGTTTTGGTCATATATAGGCATTGGCATTGCACAGGGGAATAAGACAAAGTCCTTACCCTCAAAAATAAAAGTCTGGCAAACCTGGAATAAAGGAAATAAAAGATTACACTTAAGGATATATTTTTCCAACTCTGGATTATATAGAACAGTGTTTCTTAAAGTTTAGTACATGGATCACCTGTTCTGATATCATCTAAAGGTTAATCCCAACCCCAGTTTGGGTCTAGAAATCTTTGTGTTACACAGGTACTTTGGGTGATTCTTAGAAATCACTGATCTATATGGTAGTCCACACAAAGGGAAGGAGACATGACACCTTGCTAGGCTTGGGATCCACCAATCTGGAATTAAGCGGAAGGGGAAAAATGGACAGAAAAATGTAACACCTGATCGATAGTCTAGTCTATGACCAGTATAAGGAAGACTCAAGGCACAGAGATGAGAGGCAGCCTCTAAGCTCTCCAAGTAACAGACATGTATGGTGATTCTGCTGTCATCTTTCTTCTGTGTCACAGAAGCTCCACCAACTACAGAACTTCAATACATTGATGGCTGTGATAGGTGGGCTATGTCACAGCTCAATCTCCAGGCTCAAGGAGACAAGTTCACATGTCCCGCATGAAATCAATAAGGTCAGTGCTACCATCTTCTCTGGGGCCCTTAGCAGCATTCCTAGGACCAATGACAATGATTTCTCTTTGAGAGGGGAGACCCCGAGAGCATTTCCAAACCACACCATCCCCTTGTCAACCAGGCAAAGTAGTGGGGAGGTAAACCATTAGGAAACCCACAGAATGGGGAAGTTACAGATTTGACGATGACTGATTCCATCTAGCCTTAGTTGTCCACTGCAAACATTCCTGGTAGGCCAGTTGAAACACTGACTCCCTTGCTCCAGCTCCTTGTTTAAAAATGTTCTCCCCAAAGCAATAGTGGTTCATTTGACCATAGATCAGTTTGCATGTTGGGTAAGGTTATATAGTTGTATAGTAATACATTAAAAACCTAGCCATCCAGAACCCTTGGAGAATGACATTCTGGATAGTTGAATTTTCTCACATAGTTGGAGATGAGTATTTAGATACTATTTTGCAATAATATTTATTGAGGAATATATTTTTTAAATGTCCTATGTACTTCCATTCATCATTAATTAGATTTTACAGAATATACTTTAATCTTTTATGACATATGGCTCTTGTTATTAATACAAGCTACTATGTATATACTGAAGATATAGATGCAGCTATATATGGCCTTTAGAGCACTTCCAGCTCATGCAGGAGGACCTTACTATACTCAAACCCCAATCCTCTCAAACTGGCATAGGGAACAACTCTCTTCCTAGGGAGAAAGACCTTAGTTCACTGCCCCTATCCAGTTTTCCCAGATGTTCAGCTCCCTTATGGGGAATCTCCTATTAATAATCTCTATCATAATGCTAGGCCTCTGGGGTCAAAAGGGTAATCTTTAGTGACCTTTTCATTCCCTAACAGTTCTGCTGAGACCAGGTGGAACAGTTGAAAAGATTGCTCATGTCTGTGGTGACAGAGGGAAATAGTCACAAAGATGAATATGCCCTCTTGTCATTTGGCTTACAAGAGAGCACTTGCTCCTCTTCAGCTTGGGGTCCCCCACAGCAGTGCTTCCTGTCTATAGCTACTTGACCCAAAGGGTGGTCTGCACAGGGAATTGGTTAAGTCCAGTGCTGAAGCAAATTTCCCCCAAGCAGTTGATTTCACCTTCTGAGGGGAATAAAAATCTCTCATCTTTGCTGTTAATCTCTTGTTTTGAGAGTACCTTCTACACCTAATGCGCACCTCAACTCTTGCTAGAGTTGTGTGAGGAGGCGGCTGTCTTGCCATCTCCAAGTGATTGTGGGGGGCTGACTCTAAACCTCAAGTTCTTACTCTGGAGAAATGGTATGTCATAGGCCACCATTTTATCAAAAGAATTTGGCACAGTGCCTAACATGGTTAAAGTAGTCCTCCTCATCCATGGTTCTGCTTCCTATGGTTTGTTACCTGAGGTCAACTGCAGTCCAAAAATATTAAATGGAAAATCCCATAGATAAACAATTTGTAAGTTTTCAATTACACACTGTTCTGAGTAGCGTGATGAAATCTCAGGCCGTCCTGATCCCTCCCTCCCTCCCTCCTGGGACATGAATCATCCCTTTGTCCAGCATATCCAGGCTTCAGACACTATCCTCCTGTTAATCACTTAGTAGCCGTCTAAGTTATCAAACCAACTGTCTGCGGTATCACAGTGCTTGTGTTGAAGTAACCCTTATTTTACCTAATAATGGCCCCAAAGCACAAGAGTAGTGATGCTGGCAATTCATATATGCCAGAGAGAAACCATGAAGTGTTTGTGCTTCCTTTAAGTGAAAAGGTGAAAGTTCTCTATTAAATAAAGAAAAAAAGTAAATGCTGAGGTTGCTAAGATCTAAGGTAAAGACCTCCTATCCATGAAATTGTGAAAAAGAAATAAGAAATTCACTCTAGTTTTGCTGTTGCACCTCAAACTGCAAAAGTTGTGGCCACAGTGCATCATAAGTCCTTAGTTAAGATGGAAAAGGCATTAAATTTGTAGGTGGAAGACATGAGAACAGAGACGTGTTCTGACTGATGGCATTCAGGTTCAGTACTATCCGAAGTTTCAGGCATCCACTGGGGGTCGTGTAATGTGTCCCCTGAGGATAAGGGGGGACTACTTCTTTTGTGTAGTAGCATGATTGGCAGGTAGGCTTTCACTTGACATCTCTGCTTCTGAAAAAGCTGGGGAATGGGGCTATCACACATGGGGAATGGGATTCTGTCCACTGCCTGCTGACTTCAATGAGGTGTGATTGAAAAGCACCAGATCTGGCTGCTTCCTTTCTGTGCTGGTGAGCAGCCATGCCCATTTCCAGGGCGGAGGCAGCCTCTGCGCTCTGATGTCCTCTGTGTCATCTTTTATTCAGTTCCTTTAGTTCAGGGGTTCAGTCTTTGAAGGGAATGTCACTTTCTTCCTAGAAATATGCCCATTTTAAGAATCCTGAGAGATAAGTAAGGCCCACTGAGCGCCTCATAGAGAATAAGAACACACACTGGACTGCAGAAGCTCCACTCTTGAAACACATGCTTTTCCCCATGCCAGCAACAGTCCGCACTTCCTGACATCACGATTCAAATGTTAAGCAATGCAGTGTCTCTGGAGACATTCAGAAGACACCAGGGAAAAGCATGGCTCGGGGACAGGGGTTAGAGGGACACTTAACTGTTCACCGTATACTCTTGTACCTTTTTAATTTTTGTATAAGGTGATATTTCTTTTTGAAAAGAAAGAAATTTTAACATAAAAATGAAAAAAACCCATCTAAAAATTTTCAGTAAAGCATAGCTTGTATTTGTAAATATACTCTGTGACATTTGACATAGCTGAAGTTTTAATTTCAGAATTGTATCTGTACCTTTTAGAGGAATCACCCCCTGCCCAACAAATTCTGGGCGGGGTGAAATCATGGTAGAGGTGGGAGTATGCAAGGTGGCCGGGGGCCATTACAGACAACACACCCTGCCAGCGGGTACCTGTGATTGGTCTGTTCTGCTTTGTAGGTTCTGGGTGAGATGACTGAGCTGCTGTCCTCCTGCAGAAACTATGACAACTACCGGCGAGCCTACGGAGAGTGCACTCACTTCAAGATCCCCATCCTGGGGGTTCATCTCAAGGACCTCATCTCCCTATACGAAGCCATGCCTGACTATCTGGAGGATGGGAAGGTGAACGTCCACAAGCTGCTGGCCCTTTACAATCATATCAATGAACTGGTCCAACTGCAAGAGGTGGCCCCACCCTTAGAGGCCAACAAGGACTTGGTACACCTGCTGACGGTGAGGTTCACACTGAAGCACAGTTACTAAGCACTTTCTGTGCCAGGCACCATTGGGTACATCTCACCAAGTATTAGTTCAGTTAATCCCCATGAAAACTCTATGAAGCAGACACTATTATTATCTCCATCTTATGGATGGGGATACTGAGGTACAAAGACATAACTGACCAGAGGACCACACATTATTAAGTGCAGAGCCTTGTTTCAGACCCAAGTGGGTGGGACTCCAGAGGCTGTGCTCTTAAGCAGTATGCGCTCTAGACTTCTAAGACCATTTCCTTACACCCCTGCAAAAGCATTCCTGAGCTCTCTGGGAAGAGCTGATGACACATCAAGATACGAGGCTTGGTAACATATGGAGACAGTGTGCTCTCGTAAAAAAGGGCAAGGCAGTGATTAAAAAGCCAGGTTTATTCTTTGAGTCCTGGCTTAGATCCTCATTCTCAGAGATATTCAAGCCAAGCATAGGTGAACATGTGTCAGTGATGAGGGAGTCCAGGATTTGCACTTTGGGTGAGGGGTGACATCAGATGAGCTCCCTCCCAGACCTGATTCTGTAGTTCACCAGCTGTGTGACTGTAGGCACGTAACTCTCCAAGTCTCCTCTGTAAACTCAGAAGGGTTAGTCTCTGGGATGACTTCTGATTTCTCTTTCAGTTCTAAAATTACATTAATATGCTTTTTTTTTACAGAAGGGAATAATGATCATATCCTCTTCCTGCCTCACAGGAGCATTTTCATGGTACCCCAGGGTTCACTTTGGCTGGGGTCTGATCCTAGCCCTTTTGCTAATTAGCCAGGTATCCCTGGCAGGTCTCTGCCTCAAACATCATTTGTAAAAAGATGCACTGATTCTTAACTTTTTTGGATCATAACTCCTTGATGAAAGCTATGAACCTTCTTCTCCCCAAAATGTGTATATGCTGTATATTTAAAAGTATGCAAGTAATTTCAAGGAGTTCTGAACTCCCTGAAGCCCATCCACTTACACTGGATTCTGTTGCTGGGTTCAAATTTTAATAGCATCAGGCCATGCAAACCATCCTTTTGGATTGTCTGTCTGCTTTGGGAGACAACAAGTGAGATAGGGAACATCTGGCCAGATAAGGCCTTTAGCCTATACTCTCTATGTAGAGGCATAGATTTAAGCCATAGATAAAAAGAGGGAACCTTGGGACTTCTCTATATTTCAAATCTTTTTCTTTCCTTTCATCCAGCCCAAATTGTCAGGGACTTCTCCAAAATTAAAAAAACATTTTAACAAGAACTAATGCTTGCCCTACTGCAATACTAGGTGTTACACCTACCAAACTCTTTGAATTTTAAAAACAAACTGCTAAGAACTTCAGAATAGTAAACTGTAGAGGAAGAAGCAAGCAAGCAAGAAATATATCAACTGGGGAAAGGCAAATAGCATCCTAGCAATGAACCAACCCTATTCTGCTTTGATCTGCAGTTGTCTCTGGATCTCTACTACACTGAAGATGAAATTTATGAGCTTTCCTACGCCCGAGAACCAAGGAACCACAGAGCCCCAGTGAGTTTTTCATATTAAGAGTCTCGTATGTAACAGGTGCTTTACCAGCTGCTCCTCAAATGCATTCATCTTAAGGAACAGACTTTTAGTTCAATTGAATAAACATATTGTTTCTCCTAAGTGCCTAATGTTGTGCTAGGAACCAGAGAAGCTTCTCAACATATGTGTGAGGAATGGTTCTTGTCCACAAAGAGCCATGATCTAGTTGAAGGGATAAGACTAATGTGTGAACAGTAAATAACTAGTGAACCTTCAACAATACCTACATGCCACTAGAATGTCAGAAGGAGTGAATCAGTCAGTGGTTTGCAAATTAGGGAAGGGCGATAGTATTGTGGACTGTAGCCACATCCTTCTCCTATTAAAAAGTATGCCCATATAAGTTGTTTCTTTTTTATGGTTTGGTGATGATAATCAGAGCAATATGCATATCAATCAGAAACCTGAAGATTTCCAGCTTGGTAGGTAGAAAAGTCTCATCATTCTGTTATGTTCTGAGTCTGAAAGAGCAGTCTGCTGGGTCTTTTGACCTCTTATGCTGACAAATCCTCAGAATAGCACATGGTCCTGGTACTACGCACTGTGGGAACTTCACAGGTTATCTGGCCCTGCCTCTCCTATAGGCAAGTTAAATCATTTGAGTCTCCTGGGAAGCATCCCAACCCCAAAACAGGTGGTACTCAAGGGCACAGGTGCCCACACTTAAGAAATCCAGCTTATCTGTTCAGGTGGCTAAAATGCATCGTCTCTCTACAGAGAGATCAAGTTTTATTAAATAGCTTCCTATTGCAGTGAAAGATGTCCACTGCAATTATTTGGTATGTTCCACTTTCAGGGTGTTAGAGGCATTTTAATGGAAAGGGTACCTTCTCCTGTTTTTGAAAGAGATTTTAATTTGGGCCAGGTTTCAAATAGAGTCATGTACTGCCTAATGACATTTTGGTCAATAATGGGCCACATACACGATGGTGGTCCCATAAGATGATAGTGGAGCTGAAAAATCACTGTTGCCTAGTGACATCATAGCCATCATAACATCATGGTACATTACTCACGTTTGTTGTGATGCTGATATAAACAAACCTGCACTGCCAGTCATGTAAAAGTCTAGGGCACACAATTATGCACAGTATATAATTCTTTATGATAATAAACAACTATATTCCTGGTTTATGTACTTCCTACACTATACTTTTTATCATTATTTTAGAGTGTGCGTCTTCTACTTATTAAAAAAAAAAAAAGGTTAATTGTAAAACAGCCTCAGGTAGGTACTTTAGGAGGCATTCCAGAAGAAAGTATTTTTACTGTAGGAGATGACAGTTCCATTCATGTTATTGCCCATGGAGACCCTCCTGGGGAACAAGATGTGGAGGTAGAAGTCAGTGACAGCAATGATCCTGACCCTGTGGAGGGCTACACTAGTATGTGTGTTCATGTGTTAGTTTATAACAAAAAAGTTGAAAAAATAAAAAAATTTAATTTTAAAAATAGAAAAAAACTTATAGAATTAGAATATAAAGAAAATACTTTTGTACAGCTATACAGTGATACAATATGTTTGTGTTTTAAGCTCTTCTGTTAATTACAAAAGAGTAAAAAGTTTTAAAAGATTAAGTTTATAAAGTAAAAAAGTTAGTCAGCCAAGGTAATTTTTTTATATAAATTTAGTGTAGCCTAAGTGTACAAAGTCTACAATAGTGAACAGTACTATCCTAGGTCTTCACATTCACTTACCACTCACTCACCAGAGCAACTTCCAGTCCTACAAGCTCAATTCATGGTAAGTGCCCTATATAGGTATAACACTTTTTATGTTTTACACCATATTTTTTCTTTACCCTTTCTATGTTTAGATAAACAAATACTGGCCGGGCGCTGTGGCTCACGCCTGTAATCCTAGCTCTTGGGAGGCCGAGGCGGGAGGATTGCTCAAGGTCAGGAGTTCAAAACCAGCCTGAGCAAGAGCGAGACCCCGTCTCTACTATAAATAGAAAGAAATTAATTGGCCAACTGATATATATATAAAAAATTAGCCGGGCATGGTGGCACATGCCTGTAGTCCCAGCTACTCGGGAGGCTGAGGCAGAAGGATCACTCAAGCCCAGGAGTTTGAGGTTGCTGTGAGCTAGGCTGATGCCACGGCACTCACTCTAGCCTGGACAACAAAGTGAGACTCTGTCTCAAAAAAAAAAAAAAAACAAATACTTACCATTGTGTTATAATTACCCATAGTATTCAGTATAGTAACATGCTGCACAGGTTTGTATCCTAGGAGCATAAGGCTATACCATATAGCCTAGGTGTGTAGTAGGCTACAGCATCTAGGTTTGTGTTAAGAACATTCTGTGGTGGTCAAACAACAAAATAGCCTGACGACAAATATCTCAGTAATTAAGCGAGGCATGACTGTATTTAGAAAAGGATTCCATTTCAGCTTGTCCAGGATTCAGATTTTTTTCTTGTGTGTCTTCCTGCCTTTTAGCTATTTTTCCCCCTTATCCACATTTCTACTATAAAATGACTAGAGAACAGAGAGGAAATAGAAATGATCCACTTTACTCTTTGCTGATAGCTCTGACAAAAGGTTTAATGGAGAGAGAATTGAAACTTGGGCAAATTGAGAATTTTAAATTACCTGTAGTTGCAGATAATGCATAGAAAGAGCACTCTGGAAACTGTAAAGCACAATACCTGCGTTAGCCAAGATTATTATTATAAATTTCAATTACATGTGGGCTGTTCCTTGTCATTGCACATAGTTGAGGGTTATCCATAGATACAACTGTCAAGCAGTGGGAAAGGAGCTATAGGTTATAATATTGCATTCCAGTCATGGGGCTCTCTCTGAATATTTCATTTTAGCCACTAACACCTTCAAAACCACCAGTAGTAGTGGACTGGGCCTCCGGAGTATCTCCCAAACCTGATCCAAAGACCATTAGCAAACACGTCCAGAGGATGGTGGATGTAAGTATAGCTGTGTTTCAGTGGTCAAAAGCAAAGCACTGCCTGGATTAGTTTTGTTCACGGGGACAGGAGAGCACAGTGGGAGAGACATGAAGGCAAGGAGATACTTGACACTCGTTCCTGTGTGAGCACAGGGAACAACTTCTCATATTGTGGCTGTGGAACAATTCACAAGTTATATTTTGACAAAACTCTCTGGCCTCAGGTGTGCTTCCTCTTAAAGACCTAGCAGGAGAGCAAATGTTTAAGGGTGTTGGTTGATTTGGGGCAGAGAGGTGTTGGGGAAGGTTTGAGTATTGTAAGGGTAATAAGGTGAATGTAAAACTGAAAATGTTGGCACTGCTTTGATTCAGTTCTCTGTGCTAGATGCCGAGGAGGGGGTATATACTCCTGTACTTCTGCATTTTTCCTTGTGGGCAATTCCCATGTAACAACAGAAAACTAAGAGTAGAGCAATAAGACGCAGAAGGCACACTTCCACCTGGGCTGCTTGTAGAAGCTTCTCAGAGGTGCAATCTGAGTGGAGCAGTGAGTGGAGGGAGAACATCCCTCTGCAATGAACTAGGAGTATACAGTAGCCAGGGCGATGGCATAATATGCTAATGGATGGAATTGAAAGTACCTGGCCACCTTCCAGATGCTGGGACCAGCAGTTTGCCACAGTTTAGGAGCATGTTTCCTTGTTCATCTCACTAATGTTGTTTAGAGGCCCTAGCCCTTCCTCATTTGGCTAGAGAGAGTGAGATGATTGGTTTCTCTTTAGTAATCATTGAAGAAACTCTTTTTTTCACAGTCTGTCTTCAAGAATTATGATCATGACCAGGATGGATACATTTCTCAGGAAGAGTTTGAGAAGATTGCTGCGAGTTTTCCATTTTCCTTCTGTGTGATGGACAAAGACAGGTGAGGATTTGTGTATATGATTGTGTGGTTATGGGCCCATTGGTGAAAACAGGTTTATAGGTGTGACACTAGAAGAATTTGTAAATTTTTGAATGTGTTATTACTGTGATCACTTAATGAATGTTGGGGCTAAAAGAGCAATCATCAAGTAAATGCCTGTCTTTACATCACAATGAAATACTCTAAGAAAAAGTTTAGTCTTCCTTCTTGCTTTGTCCTTACAGATTATGGGAAACAACTAATATTTATTAATACTTTTCATATTTACTTTTCTCAAGGTTACTTAAGTTCTATCTTGGTTCTCTACAGAAAACCAATTATATAGTCAGTGGATTCCAGTTATGTACTGTCTAAAGTCAGAACCCTAGCATAAGGCGTGTCCCTCCCTCTACACACATTTTACATCATTTTTTCCTCAAGTGTTACAGATAGTGGTCAAATTAGTTAGGAAAAACCAGTTTGGCCAAGAACAACTCTGTGTAAATGAGTAATGCTACCTCACCTACTTATTACACACTGTCCTGTTTCCTTATTAAGTGTAGCCCTCATGGAAGTAATCATCAGGTAACACATAATATACTACCACTGAGGATAAAAAGAAAGGTGAGTTTCTAAGGCTAGAAGCCAGCCTTGCTTCCCCTCGCCCTCACATCCTTGCCTTGGTCATTTGCTAGCAGGGAAGGCCTCATCAGCAGGGACGAGATCACAGCCTACTTCATGAGGGCCAGCTCAATCTACTCCAAGCTGGGCCTGGGCTTTCCTCACAACTTCCAGGAGACCACGTACCTGAAGCCCACTTTCTGTGACAACTGTGCTGGATTTGTAAGTTATTCTTAGGATGCTTCAGGATTGAACTTGGGGAGAGGTATGGGACAGTTTAAATGAATAAGACAGGCACAGACCTCACAAACCTATCCCAGCCTAGTGCCCAGGCAAACACCTACAATAACCTAGTGCCCGAGTGTGTGGGTTTTACTTGCATTTACTTTCTCTCACTACTTGATTTGTTTTTTTTCCTCTCTGGTGCATGAAGCCTTGGATAAAGGGTACTGGAAATGTGGATATACTTTTTAAAATACTGTTTCAAATGTTAGAAAAAAGAAATGTGAGATACCTTCCTCCCCCTTTCAAAAGGAACTGCCTTAGAGGTTACCTGGACCTGCCTCTCCTCTGTCCCACCTCTTAAACCTAACATCATATACTTGTTCCTCAGCTTGGTGTCCTGAGGGGGAGCCTATTTGTCCTAGAATTCATCCGTTTCAGGCCTGGGGCTTAAAGGCACTAGTGAATTTGACTCTAATCAGCACAAACTTTTTCTGTTTTCATCAGGAGGAACAAACCATGAGATATAAGTGAGGTTTCTTTCCCACTTGAGCTAGGGAGTAGCATGAGGGAAAATAATGAATGTCAACTTGTAGACTCACACCAGACAAATGACTTGTGGTGCTTTCTATCTCGTTTGTCTCATAGCTCTGGGGAGTGATCAAACAAGGCTATCGATGTAAAGGTAAGACAGCATCATTGATGGCGTTGTTTTCCTTGGTCTTAGGGACTGTTGTCTAAAGCATTTTTTACCCAAAGAAGTTGTCCATTCAGTCCACAGCAGAGTTTGGAGCCTCATCCCCAAACTGGCTTCCGTAGAGTTCCCCCTGAGAATGACTGCCACCACACAGGAGAGAGGAATGCCTGGGTGACCAGTTATGTAGTTCCCCTTTACAAGATGATCTTTCTGCCTTGGTTGCCCTGGAAATGGGGATGGCTGGTAGGAGACTGTGCTCTCATATAGTCATGTAAGGGTGGGTCCCCAATGAAAAGGATAGAATCACTTCTGGAACAGAAGACAAATAATTACCAAAGGGCCTTGTCAGCTTTCCTTTCATCAGTAGATAACTCAGGACATAATTGTCCTTCCCATGCAGGAAAATTTTAAGAGTGAAGTAAAGGAGACCTTTAACTGCAAGGAAGAAAGAGTAAGTCCTAATAGCTTGGAGCTTCAGAGGGCTTCCCTAGAGTAGGCAGGATGTGTGGGATACCAGGCCACCATCTCTTCCCTCCAAGATAACAGGATACTGCTTCTGATGCTGAGACTCACTGATAAGGGTGTGAGATCCAGGGTTTACCAATAAGAATGCTAGGTTCATTAGGAAGATAGGATGTGTGACATGAGAGCATTGCATAAATTTGGTAGTGAGACTCTGGAGAAGAGAGAGAGTGGAGGACTTCCTGACTGGGATGTGTTATCCACAGACTGCGGGATGAACTGCCACAAACAATGCAAAGATCTGGTTGTGTTCGAGTGTAAGAAGCGAGCCAAGAACCCAGCAGCTCCCACAGAGAACAGCACCTCTGTGGGGCCAGTGTCCAACCTCTGCTCATTAGGAGCCAAAGATCTGCTCCATGGTAAGTAGGCACTGGGAACATTCATCTTGGAAAGTGAAGTGGGAAGGGTAAAGTTTGGGAAGAAGAAAGATTACCTTGTGATGCTATGTCCTGAGTTTCAGTTAAGTTTGACCTCAGTAGCTTGGCCAGGGCAGACACTTACCATAGTTCTGGATTTCAGCTCCCTGCCTATGCCTCAGACCTAAGGGTGCTAAAATAGCAGAATGGAAGTTTGGCATAAAAATCAGCTGGTATTTATTGAGCACCTACACCAAGTGCAGATACTAATGGCCAAGACGGTGCCTCAAGTTAACTATCCCCAGCTCCAAACCCAAAACAATGATAAGGGAAATATGTATATGCATGTTTGTGTATATAGAATATAATATATAACATAAGGCATAGTAACATTCAAAAACAAAGGTAAACATGTGTGTAACTCAGAAATATATTAAAAATACACTGTAAGGAGTGGATGTTGAAGCTATTGGTCTAAGTTAGAAAATAGAGATAACAAAAAATCATAACCCATAATTCTCCCCCCAAAAAGACAATGTAGGTAGACATAATAATTTAGATATTCTGGCCCTTAAATAATAGTGTAATTATAATTTTGAGACTTGGATAAATATTAAATGTTAACTTATGTTCCCTTTGGCAAAAATTAAACTAGGGTCTTTATAAGATTTCTAGTATAAGAACTTTTGAGTCAGGTTACAAAAAAAAGTTTTTTTAAAGCCATTTTAACTATATCAATCCAAAGTCTTGAATGTCAGAATTACTGCTGAGTCTTTAGATAACAGTAAACTTGGATGATCTATAGTTTATATCTTAAAGCCTCCCTACCACCCACTTCAAATACATTTGTTCTTACTCTACTTTTCTAGGAAATTACTCCTTATGGTTAATGTTACCAGGTTGGGGCCCGGGCAAGGGTGTTGGTTGGAGGAAGAAAACCAGAATGGATTTGCCTTTTCCCCATCAGTATTCCTTCTCACTGTACCCACTGTACAAAAATGGGCCCCCCACCATCTGCCATAGGGCACCTGTATCAGGACTGAGACTTAAGGGATGAGAGCTCCCAAACCCCAGGGTCCATAGAAAGTATTGATCCTGCTTTCTTTATGAAACTTCACAGCATTGGAGCAGGGGCTTCAACTTATCATCAGAAACCCTCTAAGCAACTTTTGTGCAAACAGAATCTCCAGAAACAATCCTCTAAACAACTTCTGTGCACACAGAAAAAATATACCCTTTCCTCAGGGTAGATATAGCCCACGTAACCCCTACATTGGGTGCCTAAAAAATGGATCCTCTTTGGAAGTCTAGAACTCCTGTAACAATGAGAAAGGTCTCATTTGAAACTAATGTGTGTCATTCTTAAGTCTCTGCTAAGTACTAACTTATCGTGTATCTTCGTATAGCACCTGAAGAAGGACCTTTTACATTTCCTAATGGGGAGGCTGCGGAACATAGTGAGGAGAGTAAAGATCGGACCATCATGCTGATGGGAGTGTCCTCACAGAAGATTTCTGTTCGGCTGAAGAGGACTGTTGCCCACAAGGCCACTCAGACTGAATCACTGCCTTGGATTGGCAGTGAGAGCCCTTCAGGTCCTTTCATGCTGTCTTCTCCAAGGAAGACAGCCCAGGATACTCTTTATGTGCTTCCAAGTCCCACATCTCCATGCCCCAGCCCAGTCTTGGTCAGAAAGCGGGCTTTTGTCAAGTGGGAGAATAAAGAATCCTTCATAAGATCAAAGGAGGAGCTCCGCCACCTCAGACTCCCAACCTACCAAGAGTTGGAACAGGTACTTTCCTCTTTGATTTCCTTCTGTTCAGATTCTCTTGGAGAAGTGAGGCTAAGGCATGGAATAGCATGTGAACTGAAGATTCTAAAGATAAGAAGAATGGAGGGAGGAAGGATGGATTCCAGCTTTCTCACAAAGAACCTGGTGGGGGCCCTTGTTCACATTACGCAGGCAGAACGGGATATACAGGGCTCCCTTATCACCGTGCAGGTGCCATTTCAGAGTGCTGGTGTCAGTGCCCAAAGCTCTGTTCACAGTAGGCTCATTGAGAAAAACCAGTTTCTACTGGGCACTTTACTGTGCTGACACCATTCCCTTCTTCTAGATGGAACCAAGATGAACTTGAATAAATCCTACTTCCCTAGAGATCTTTATTAACCTGTTTATCAGGGTTGTGGCTGGGACCTTCATGGTTGCCTAGGCATCTTCCTAAAAGAAGGTAGGGGATCTTAGTGCTACAACAGCAACAAAAAAGAAAAGGTAAGTGTATTGTAGATCACCACAGATAATGCCTCCTTCTTAATATAGACAAGGCGAATCTTTCCTAACATATTTTATATTAGGCTCACAATGTCCTAATTATCAGGCACCCCCTGGAGGTATTGGAAAAGACAAAAATAAAGGTTACCAAGAAAAGAATTTTCCCAAAACATCAAGGTTTGCACTGTGTTTTTAGAGACCTGTCAGAAACACAAAACCAACATCCATCTAACCAGAATTCCTAATATAATTTTACATACTACATAGTAAAACTGTCCACGGGAGCTTCAAGATTCCCTATGCTATCAATAGCCTAGGAATTGAATAGGAGGGACATATTTAAAAGGATGAAAGGTGCTTTAAGAATCAAGTCAATCAGAAGGTGGCAAAATGTGGGTTACAAAAAACACTTCTCTTTATAAACTACCAAACCCAACTTTTAAGAACAATGAAAGAAACCTTGAAAAATGAATAGAATGAACTTTAGTCTTGGAAGCAATGATTTGTATTTTCAGTCCCTGGTATTTCTTATAACAGCTATTAAATTCTGCAACCTGTTAGTCTCTGTAAGATACAGGGCTGAGATTCCATGCTATGATAAGGTTTGCCTCAAATAGTGACATTTTACACACCCATGAAAAGAACAATGTAGTTGGCAACAATGCTTCAGAAATGAAGTGGCTTACAAAAAGATTTCAGATGAGTCAGTCCCAGAATAATTCCTATCTAGTAATATCGGAGCCAGTTAATTCACTTACCATCTTCCCAGTAGCCTGTCTTTACTTTTAGCATTATCAAACAGAACTAAGGTCCACAATTCAATATGTACATTTTATAGGAAAAGTGTGTCCCACTTTCCCATTAAGTAAAATTCTTACAGTGATTTGTCTGTGTGATTCAACAGTCCTGTCATAATAGCTAGTCAAATTAAGTCAGTATTTAAAGTATTAATAAATAGTACATATTATTTTAGGTTGTATATATACCTCTGAACCAACATGGAACAAAAGAAAAAGCCAAACAAAGGCTCTTAGGGTTGGATATGCCTGGGTTCAAGTATCTAATCTGATACTATATGACATTTTCTGCTTCTATAAAATTGATATACCTCCTATTTCAAGGTGTTTGTGAAGTTTAAGGGATTTCTATTACCATGTACCACAGCACCAGGCATATAAGCAAGTGCTCAATATTATATGGTAGCCAATAGACAGCTATCTTGGTAACTCAGGTTGAGAAATGATCCAGTGTATCCCAAATTACCCAGACATTGCCTGGGTAATATACAGTATTCTTTCGGAGTAACCAGAGTGGTATAATGTAAAAACACTGGACTCAAAATCAGAACATTAGAAAATCAACCGTTGGCTTTATAATTAAAACACCCCAAGTTTGATCACGAAATCCTACTTTAGGGAGTAGGGTAAAATACTTTGTCAAAAAGGTACATTAGTTTTTGGTGATTTGGAGGAAAAAACTTATATTAAATGCACTATAACATCTCATATAGAATTCTCAGTCACTGCTTTCATCATTCAGACCTGACCAGAGACTCTTTGTTCTGCAAAGTTAAGATCTCCTACTACACAATATCCAAAGGTTTCACCATTACACACCTATTGCCAGGGAAATGGATTATTCTGCCTGCTAGCCACTCACATCCTTGATATGATCACAAAGACTAATTGCTATTTGCAAAGACTCACTTGATATTTAACTTGTTATTTTCTATTCAGGGCAAAATAACTGTCTTGAAAATAGTTTTTAATTCTCAGCCATAGTGAATAGGAGATGCCAATCAAATATAGTACTTACAATATTGTAAAGATTTGCTGTTCATGGCTGCTTTATTAACATACCTCATTTTCCTTTCCTTTAGGAAATAAATGCCCTGAAAGCAGATAATGATGCCCTAAAGATCCAACTGAAATATGCACAGAAGAAAATAGAATCCCTCCAGCTTGAAAAGAGCAATCATGTTTTAGCACAAATGGAGCAGAGTGACTGTTCTTAGCCCAGAAACTCAAGGAACACAATCTGTAGATGAGTATACTGGAGATCTCAATTTCTCAACTGATTAACACAAAGACCTGGGAACCTTAGAATGACCAGTGTTTAAAACAGTACTCTGAAAGGAAAAGCCTGCTACTGTGTGTTTACTTAAAAGATTCCTAATGTGCAGCATTGTTTTCTCTTTCAGTCAAGTGTGCTAAAGAATGCAAAAGTTTTACCAATCATACCACTAATTCCTTCTGCCCAGGATTAATACCAAAAGTATGTAAAATATGACTATAGTTTCCTGACAAGGTGGCTTTTCATGTGGTCTCCCCAGCTGATTCTTCCTTAGAGCTAAAATCTTTGGAAAAGGAATGTTTCCTTCTTAAGGTTTTCTGCAAACTGAAGGACTTAACTTTGTTCCATCCAAAGCTTGCTTATAATGGAAACATACTCATACTCCAAAAGTAGATTTACTTCAATATCCCAGCATTCTTTGTGAATCTGGTTCCTACTTCACTACCTCAGATCTAATCAATTAGCCTCTGTCCCCTTTTTCACTACACTCATATACAGATGAGCATATCTACCTAGAAGTGAATTTCTACAGATGTAGCCACAACTTCTTAGAGGCCTATTAAACATGACCTTATCCAATTGCAGGTCAACTCACAATTGTAGTATTACTGTTATCATAAAATAAGTAATCAAATTAAGTACCTGGAAACAGCTATTTTACCATGTCATACATGATTGGCTAATTAGCTAAAATAAATGTAATGCAAACATGTTTGTCATCATATATTCTACTGTGGATAGAATTAAGAATTGATGGCATTTTTGAGTCTGAAAATCTGTTTAACTCTTCATGTTCCATCTTTTTTTTTTTTTTTGAGACAGAGTCTCACTCTGTTGCCTACGCTAGAGTGCCGTGGTGTCAGCCTAGCTCACAGCAACCTCAAATTCCTGGGCTCAAGCGATCCTCCTGCCTCAGCCTCCCAAGTAGCTGGGAATACAGGCATGCACCACCATGCCCAGCAAATTTTTTTTTCCCCTCCATATTTTGAGTTGTCAAGCTAATTTCTTTCTATTTTTTTAGTAGAGACAAGGGTCTCACTTTTGATCAGGCTGGTCTCGAACTCCTGAGCTCAAACGATTCTCCCACCTCGGCCTCCCAGAGTGCTAGGATTACAGGCGTGAGCCACCGCGCCTGGCTCATCTTTTGAATTGAACTATTTTTAAAGTCTTTTTGAACTGAATTTGTGCTTCAACTGTCTTCACCATTAATACTATTTAGAAATAAGCTATTTGGATCAGTGGCTTAAATAATAGCTGACAGTGTGTACATATGTATATACAATATCAGGCATGCATGTGGCTTAGAATTTTGTTTCCTCTTTCATAAAATGTGAAACTTAATTAAACTTTTAGTCATTACATAAATTCAAAAATATAAAGTTCAATTTGTTACAAAGATGAGGAAATTGCTCACGAGGTAAAACGCATTATTTGGCAAAATCACAAGTAACAGTCCTGTGAGTTTTCTATTATGAAAGTTAATGATAAATGGGCTCATTAAGTTACCTGGGCACCTACTCACAAATTCCTTTGTCAGCCTTATAGTTCTCTAAAACAATTCATATGATCATTTTCCTTTTATGAGGGACTTAGCTTCCATGCTTGGAAAAAGTCTGGTACCAGGTTGACTTGAAATGCATCCATAGGTTGACCAATTTCCAAATCTAAAGCAAACACCACCAAGTCTGCATAAGAATACAAAGTATATTTACAGCATTGCTTCAAGGATTCAGATCCATTAAAAATTTTCTTTGATGAAGGACCAGGTCCCATTTGTGTTCCTCCTTACACTGAGTTTTAGTGACATAGAACTAGCTTGTAGTTAATGTTTCATTAAATTTTAAAGAATCATTTTATATATGTATTTACCCTTTTCTAACTCCAAACTCAGAAATCTCCAAAAGGCAGGGCTGCTGAGTCCCATCACCTGGTATACAAACTTACTGTAGCACTTTGTTACTTGCTCTATATGGACAAATATGAATTATGACAAACCTTCAAATTCCTATTCTTCTCTATTATTCTTTTTCCTCTGATGTAAACCAAAGAAGGTATAGCTCACTTTCTTTCAACAGTCTTGAAACACAATTTTTTTCATTCTTCTTACCTTCCATCCAAAATAAAGACCCCAGATTTTTATATAAATAACCTATAATCTAGGAATTCAAAAGGTCATAGTTCCCTTAATTAGTCAAATTAACAATGGCTAGACAGTCTCAAGCACTGCAGAATTTATCACTGAAATTATAGGAGGAAGTAGTTTCATCACAGGTTTTTATAGTCCAGCAAGGGCCAAAGAAATAGTGTATAATAGTATTTGTGTTGAGCTACATGGGGTTAGTGGAATCTACAGAAATGATCTGAAAGAAGTTTTTGTTAATAAAGCCTAGAATGCAAATTTTTGCATCTCAAACTGACCTTGAAATAAGTTTGGCCAGATATTTATCTGCCAAAATAAGGATAACTTTTTATTAACAGCAGTCACTTCTTGTTTTCTTTCCTGACTCACCTTTGTGAATTTCTGTCTAAAGATGTATAATGTAAGAGAACTGCAAGAAAAAAAAAATGTACAGATTGTAAAGGTTTTTTTGATACTTAATGTAAGTTTTCTTTGTGTAATATTTATATGATAAAAGACATTAGGATCCCTACAACATGTCTTGTGTTTTATTTCTACTTTATGTGGATATATGGAAACTTCATCTGACTTTTTACTATTAATATAATCCATAGCTGAGACCACAGAATAGACTCCCCTATTCTGCTTTTTTTCTGGAAGGAAAATTAAAGCAACTAGATTATTTAGCTTAAATTTTTTTGACAACATGAAGTAACAGTACAGAAATATTCAACCTATTCCCTCTTATTCATAATAATTTACAGTGATCCCCAAATATTAATTCTGTAAATACTTAACATTAAAGTAGACAAACTTGAGGTTGTCATTTCTTTATAGCTTTCATCTTTAATTTTCCACGGTCCCATTCAAGCAAGTAAAGAAGAGAAAGTTTGAAGCTATGGATAATATTGGTAGAAGATGGTTCGTTCCAATGTACAGACCCACCCCAAGCAATTCATTTGTGGTTGTGATTAGAGATAGCCATGATTTCCCCTGAATTCCCAATTTTTTTATTTAACCAGATCAATGAAGAAGCAGGGGATTTCAGTCACTTAAATTCCACTGTAGAGTGCATTCTGGTACTTTTGAATAGGGTGTATTTTGGCAATTCATAATACTTCATATAAAATAATGAAGTCACATTGACAATGTAACCCTCAAGGAGAAATGAAACTGCCTCCTCACCTCTTACTCCAATTCCCATCCCAAATATCTGTACTGTGTGCTCCTTACAATGTATAGATAATATCAAGACTCAGGACATTTTCTGGCCCCAAATCTTTTTTAGGTTGTCACACCTTCTTCTGTCACAAATACAGGTAATAAAATGTCTTGGGTTTAAAATTTTTTTCTGTTTAAACAGGCAAGGTTTCCCTGATCTGCAGAACATAAGGGCATAGGTTCAAAGAAAATACTTGTTTCCCCTTTGATGAGTGCTTATGAGTAATGGTTTGGTGACTCTGTATAGACAGGACATAGTTCTTTATATGGTCCAGAGGAAAAGTCAGTTACTACTTTAACCCAGAAACTCCCAGTAAGATCATGTCTATATGTGCCACAGGCTGAACAAATATAGAAGAAAAAAAGGGGAAGGAAAACAGGGTAATAGGGGGAAAAAAAATTGAGAACCAGGCAAAAAAGAATGAAGAGGAAGTATCAAAAAAGGTGTTGGATTTTAGGAAGCAGTGAAGCGCCACACACCATATTCCATATTAGTATTGCACTTAATTTATAAAACGTGAAATCACCTCACTGCTATTCTAGATACTGCTCAGCAAACTGTTCTACACAAGAAATTTTTACTTAAGAAAAGATTATCATGAAAATCCCATCTTACAGGAAAGAATAAGATATTAGGGTCTAGATGACTTAGTTTTTCATCTAAGTAGGGTTTACAGGAATGTGTAAACAGGAGTGATTTCAGCTCCAACATGATTCCAAGAGTATATACTAAACTTAGATAAGACTTATAGTGATTGCAGTGAAAAACCCAAATAGCACTCCTGTGAAGGTACTGAGAAATCTTACAGTAATTGATAAACTATTATTTCTGCCATATTTACCACAGACCTTTAGTGGTAAAAAAGTTGAAAGTAGTTATAAATCTCCTTTTTGTATTAGCAACTAATGCTCCTAAAAAGAAATGAAGCAGAAATGTAAATGATTTAAATGAGTATTTTTAAACTAAACTCTCTTAAAATGTTTTACTCAAATGACCTTTTGCTTACATATTTTTAAAAAATTACTTTTCAGAGTCTGTAGCTACTGATGAAGGTATTTTAATAATGGAAAGCCTTTTTCTTCAACTATCACAAATGCAATAAAGTCTTTTCATTAAATATAAACACACAAAAAACTAAATTTACAAATAACTAAAAAATTTATCCTGAACACATTTCTTCAAAGGATTAGCTGAAAAATACATGTCCGAGGACTATAGCATATACAATGTTTACTTTTAAAGTTTTAACATAATTTTAGATTTTACCACAGGGTTTACTATAAAACAAAACAACAAAACCCTGCCAAATATCAAACCATTTGTCCACTGGTAACAATTCAGCTTTCTGTCTGTTGAGCTGCTTAGATCACAGAAAGTTGTTATGCACAGGTATTAATCAGGAGCCTACATGGAGACACATTTTACAGTGGGATTTAAAAAAAAATGTGTGTGACCAGCTCTTTTCCTCTCTACACTAAGAGAAAAATACATTACTTAGCTCACCTCTTAAAATCATTCAAATAGGCCCTCTACAAATTTTTAACAAATTGCATTTGTACTTAGGCCTTTATGAAACAACCTGAGAAGGTGGCAAGTGTCTCATTCCTCATTTAACAAATGAGGACAAATCAATACTTGAGAGCTAAGGTCATTTCAACTCACAGCATCCTTGGCCTAGTGCCATGATTTGGATTCACAACTCCTGACACCCAAGCCTTTGACTGCTCCAACCACCAAACTACATATAGCCATTCCCTAACCTGTGTTTGCTAAAGCTAGCTGTGAATCAGAATTATCAAGGGAGGCCTAAACCTGATCTATTCAAACTGAAAATTACTGCTTTAATTCTATGTGATACAGCTCAGCTTGCCTTTTAACATTCAGATATCAAAAGTGAGGGCATAAATGATGAAGAGACCCGTTTACAAGAATATTTTTCACACCATCATGTAAAATTAGAACATATCTTTGTCCTGTTAAATTCTGACCTCAATCTTAAACTTTGTTTTCTCAAACAAAATCTCATAGATTTCAAATCCAATTAGAAAATAAATCAAATATGCACAGTAAAAAGCAAACTTGGGCTTCAATTAATAGAACTTTAACAGAAACCTGGTCAAAGGAATCTCTTCCTATAATAGAAAAAACCAAATAACGATAACTACCTATTGGACACAACTATCAGTTCCTTTCCCTATTTTATAAAGTAAAATTAAAAAACACAAAACACATCCACAGGAATACAGAAGAGGCAAGAGTCTATATTCCTTTCCATTAGAGGTGGGGTCATTTATGTGTTTCAAACCTGAACAAAATACAGGTAACAGTCTAAATTTAATCATGACAATAAAATACTTTCCATTTTCCAAGTTTGATGGTAATAAATATTTACATTTTTAAAAATAATTTTTGTTCCTTTTTTGTTTTTTAAAAAGTCACGACATGCTTAAGGATACAGATATGGAAAAATTATCACTTCATCTAAGAGATCAACTGGTAGTATAAAACAATGTTATTACATATTAACCCAATTCAAGAATGATACCATCAGGGAGTCTAACATGGTGTTTACTTCAAAGATGATATTCAAGTGTTATTTAGAACACTATGTCTAATGTATCCAGAAGTAAGCACTGCTATCTAATTTTTGTGATTTTTAATATCTTCTATATCCACCACCACCACCACCTCCTCCTCCATATGGATCTCCATAACCTCTTCCACCATAACCCCCTCTTCCACCATAGCCTCCCCTTCCACCATAATCTCCCCTCCCACCATAATCTCCCCTGCCTTGGAAACCACCTCGAAGAGAGATTGGATCTTTTCCCAGCGTATGTTTTTGTCTGCTTTGTCAAAGATTAGATGGCTATATGAGGATGGTTTTTATATCAGGATTCTCACATCTATGCATCCGATAAGGGACTGATAACTAGAATATACTTAGACTCACGAAAATTAGGAAGAAAAATCAAATAACCCATTAAAAGTGGGCAAAGGACTTGAACAGAAATTTTTCTAAAGAAGACAGAAGAAGGCCAACAACATATGAAGAAATGCTCAACATCTCTAAACATCAGGGAAATGCAAATCAAAACCACAATGAGATATCACTTAACCCCAGTGAGAATGGCCTTTATCAAAAAATCTCCAAGGCCGGGCGCTGTGGCTCACGCCTGTAATTCCTAGCTCTTGGGAGCGAGGCGGCGATTGCTCAAGGTCAGGAGTTCAAACCAGCCTGAGCAAGAGCGAGACCCCGTCTCTACTATAATACGAAAGAATCTAATTGGCCAACTGATATATATATAAAAAAATTAGCCCGGGCGGTGGCGCATGCCTGTAGTCCCAGCTACTCGGGAGGCTGAGGCAGAAGGATCACTCAAGCCCAGGAGTCCTGAGGTTGCTGTGAGCTAGGCTGACGCCACGCGACTCACTCTAGCCTGGACAACAAGCGAGACTCTGTCTCACAAAAAAAAAAAAAAAAATCTCCAAACAATAAAGCGCTGGCGTGGTTGCGGAGAGAGAGGAACACTCCTACACTGCTGGTGGGACTGCAAACTAGTTCAACCTCTGTGGAAAGCAATATGGAGATACCTTAAAGCGATACAAGTGAATCTACATTTGATCCAGCACCCATTGCTGGCATCTACCCAAATGATCCAATGACACTCTACAAAAAAGACACCTGCACTCGAATATTTATAGCAGCACAATTCATAATTGCAAGGCTGTGGAACACCCAAGTGCCCATCAATCCAAGAATGGATTAATAAAATGTGGTATATGTATACCATGGAGTACTATTCAGCTCTAAGAAACAATGGTGACATAGCACCTTATATTTTCCTGGTTAGAGCTGGAACCATCCTACTAAGTGAAGTATCCCAAGAATGGAAACAAAGCACCAGATATATTCTCCAGCAAATGGTATTAACTGAGTAGCACCTAAGTGGACACATAGGTACTACAGTAATAGGTATTGGGCAGGTGGAGGGGAGGGGCGGGTAATATCATACATAATGAGTGAGATGTGCACCATCTAGGGGATGGTCATGATGGAGACTCAGTCTTTTGGGGGGAGGGGGCAAAGGGGCATTTATTGAAACCTTAAAATCTGTACCCCCATAATATGCCAAAATAAAAC